TTTCCGTTAATAATGTCCCAAGGGAGTTATGCCTTATTTATGATTAGCATAACCAACACACGATATAAACTTATATTAATTTAGTAAAAAATAAAAACTATTATGTCCCATCAAAAAACTATATAATATACGATATAAAATTTCATCGGCTTTAGGATGAAAAGGCGTATCTCGATTTTTGGGGATTTTGAGATTTCAACGTCATGACATGCCCATTGGGCCATTTTTTAATACAGCGAATTTGCGCATCTCAGTATTATACCTTTTTCATTTTATATTCGTCAAAAATTTGCCCCATCTCAAATAATAGAATTCTTCGTTATTACGAAGAAACGTATGATGAGTTAGCGCGCTTTGTTATATCAATAATTATACCAATTGTTATACTACAAGAAAGATGGCATTTAAGATAGGTCTTTTTGTTTTAAGTTATGAAAATGCGTGCGAGAGAAAATGTCACATTCTGCCTAATTATTTTCTGATGGTTGCTTTGGACAAAATAAAACTTCTATCATGGCAGCAGCTCTCTTTTACAGTGTGATTTTGAGTCTGATTTTTTGCCAAAAACCATGATCGGAATGAGCTAGATGCAAAAAATTGTCCGAGAATAAATGGCTGAAGGAAAATTGACCGAACGCAAACCACCGAAACGAAGATTACCCTAATGGAAAATTTCCCGAAATCATAATTTCCCTAAGAACATTTTGTCATTATCATTGTCATTGTCAGGCCATTGTCATTTTCATCCCTGTCAATTTCTGGAAAATTTTATTTATTGTGCCTATCATCATCCGGTATAAACACGTAGAATGGAAGTTGAATTTGTTATCAGTGAATAGGGTAAACAGAAACTGTTAGTCCACAGTTATTTGTATCAAAAAGGCATGGATAAAGAAACATGTTTTGTTTATGTTTAGTTTGGTTTTTATTAAATGAACCGTGTGTTTATACACTATATGAAAAATCGACATTTTGAATAATTTTTACTTCTGTCAATTGTAATTCAGTGATTTTTCTTTTGGTTAATTTTCTTATGGATCAAATTGTTTTTGGACAATTTTACTAAACCGGTTGTATTGTTCATGCATTAAAAAAACAGGCGAATTATTTGTGCCCAACCAGCTGTTACCGGTAATTCGTGAGAGTTATAGAACAGTAACTCTAAAATAATAGCTAATTCTTTCAACATCACATTTTAAACTAAACTCAGGGCCAAAACCTATAATATTACGAAAATATAAAGATCTACAATCCTTTTGCACTGGTTATAAACCTGTCATTCAAGTCAATTAACTAAATAATTACTAAAAATATATTAGTTAAAGAAATGTATTTTTATATAAAAACAATATTAATAAGAGTATTTTAATTTATTATTGACTTTGCTTCTAGAATGAACATTGTCTTTGTTTTCAGTTGATTTAATCCAACGGCAATAAAAGTGTTGTAAAAAATAGTTTTTGATTTTTTGATGATTTCTAGATTTTTTCTTGTATATATGTATATAAAGTGAATATTTTATTATTTTTGTCCTTATTAACACTTTACCATCATTTTTAAATTTATTTTACATGGTCGTATGTATAGATAGTATTCGGTCGGAAATAAATTTATTATATTAAAACAAAAAGGCCTATCTCTATTAAACAACTAAAAATAAATTATTAATTAGAATTTACGCTCAATTGATTTTTAGAACCTACCTCAATGTCTCCTTTTTAGTGTTAATACTATTAAAAAATTAAAGACTTTATTGTTATTGGCCGAATAAAGTAAGTGATTTCCTTTAAATAATTGCTCTCCTGAAAAGTAGCAAAAATCGAGACACGCCTTTCCGTCATAAAGCCGACGATTTATTAAAGGGATCACTTGGAAAAACGTGTTAGAAAGCTAATTATTGATCTGATTGGTTTATTTGATGTGAAAGAGAAGTTTTCTAGGTTTAGACGGTTTATTGACCGCCGCTAGACTCAGGAAACCCAAAGGATCGTAACATTCTTGGTTTTTTGTTAGATTTTTGCCAATAGTTCCAAAACGTTGCGTTGCGTTCTATCAAATATTTCAGTACCGTTGATTGAAAAAATAATAAGATGCGCAACCTTATGGGCGATTTCGTGGCAGAAACCCTATCAGAGATGTAGCTGGCGTTACCGTCAGCCTATTAATAATACGGATTTTCTATCATTAAACAATTTAATATAATATTATAATATGATTAAACAAAGAACGGCGTCAGAGTTAGCTTGGCAATGAATATAGCTGTTAATTCATATGTTAAATATTGTGATAAATATCAATAATCGTCATTTCCAAGCCAACTAAACAACTTTTTTCGATCATACGACATATACAGTACCTATAAAAGAATTATTATTTTTGTTGTTTATTCTATGTTTAACACGAATAAATTTTCAATAAATAAAAGCGGATTTTTTCGTCAAGATATTTTCGTCAAACGTTATTACAGATACCTATTGCACATTTTAATATGACAACACTGTCGCTTTCAGTGCCACACCGTCTTCGATATGCCCTCGCTGGCCGAGTTAGAGAAAATAAGTGTTTTATGCGTTGACCGCAGAACGATTGGTGTCTCTACCGTACAGCACTTGAAACGTAAGAGGAACTCAAATCAGCCTTCTCACGAATTCGCCCATTAGGTTGCGAATTCTTTCAATCAACGGTATTACGTAAATTAAAAAGAATTATCAAAGCAAAACCTTTAAAGGCGGGTAAAAGGACAAATAACTCACAATCTTGATTGTGAGTAAAAGGGTAAAAGGACAAATAAATTTTTTTACCCACAAATATGTGGGTAAAAGGATAAATAACTCACAATCTTGATTGTGAGTTATTTGTTCTTTTACCCGCCGTCTTTTAAAGATTGTGAGTTATTTGTCCTTTTACCCGCCTTCAAAGGTTTTGCTTTGATAATATGTACTCACACTGGGTTAGAGAACGTTTAGTTTTTAAAAAGAATTAAATTGTCACTTTCATTTGAGTAAACTATTTAACACGATTGTTAGAAGTTTTTGAAGAATTTGAAAAATATTAACTTGTGACATAATCCACTTGTGAAATACCGGGTGCGTTTCAAAAGTGGCTCACCCCTATAACATTTTTGTTTTATCAGATAAAAAAAACGAGATTTGGTATGTTAATGTATGACATAAATTAAGATTTATTGACGTATTCAATTGTTTCCTGTCACTTCCTGTTTCACCGGAAATGACTACAACTTTTGATTGTTACATGGCAGCCTCGGTATTTTTTTACTTTATTTGATAGAAAATTGCATTCTAAATAGAATTACATATCCATATGTCGACTTTTGACATTTTTGCTTAAAACAAAATTGAATTTTATATTTGCCATGGCTGTGTTAAAAACACTAATTTTTAATCAAGGAGCCTTGGAAAAATAGATTTGATCGTTTACTGTAATTCGTGTCTTGTCCAGGTGGGTTAAAAGATGCCCAAATCGTATTTTTAATCATATTTCAATTTTTTCAAATGGAACAAGGGTGGCTCATTAGCATATTTGGAAAAAGCATATTTTTCCGAATAATTTGGTACTTCGAGTCACTTGATACTTCGAGTCAAATTATCGCTATGAATCGCATATTGCAATTTCAAATAAACCATATTCGAAAATGTCAAAAGTTGACATATGTTATGTGACATATTTATTCAGAGTGTCATTTTCTATCGAATAAAGTAGAAATATATAGTCTAAGAGCTAGTAACGTTTTTGAGGGAGAAAGTATTTTAAGACGTCTGGCTCTTTGATATATCTTTTACTATGCTCTCTGGAACAGCATCCGGCCCGTCTGGCTGCCGATACCCGTCGCGTTCACTATTGCGCATCGGAAGAAGATCCTATATTTTTTATTAATTTAGTCCTATAAATTCTAGTATTGAATATAAATCTAACATGTTTCCATAGCGCAATGCGTAGAGTTTCCGACCACGAACCGATGATTCAGAGTTCGAATCCGGGTCAGGGCAAGGACTTTTTTTATTTTATTTTCGTTAATATAATAGAATTATTTAATACTTTACTATCAGAATATAAACGAAAATAAAATAAAAAAGTATTAAATAATTCTGGTAATTAAAAAAAAATAGTTAATACTTTACTTTCAGAATATAAACGAAAATAAAATAAAAAAAAGTCCTTGCCCTGACCCGGATTCGAACTCTGAATCATCGGTTCGTGGTAGGAAACTTTACGCATTGCGCTATGGAGACATGTTCGATTTCTATTCAATACGAAAATTTAAAGGACTAATAAAAATTAAGGATCTTCTTTCAATGCGCAGTAGGGAACGCAACGTTTACCGGCAGCCAGACGGGCCGCATGCTGTTCTAGAGAGAATAGTAAAAGCAGATATATACAGGGTAGTAAGAATTTTTTTTTGGAACTAGGTTTTGTGAGTTTTGATGAACAAAATGGCGGTATGTGCAACAATTTTGTTTTAAGGCTGTTTACTCATTTTATTTTGCATTTTAAACAAAAATTGTCGAAAATCATAAGATGATGAAATTGTGTTAGTAAAGATAATTTTGTGGGTCGCATATTCAACATCATCATCATTCTCAGCTTATTCAACCATTTCCCTCACATATTTAAAAAGCTTCCCTCACATATTTAAATACTCTCTTTGTAGTTGGGCCAATTGTTGTCTATTGTTGTCTATGCGGGTCCAAGTTATCTCTGCTAATTTCCTAATATCATGGTCCCATCATCAGGTTTGGTCTTCCTCTAGATCTCTTAATTCCTCGTGGGTACCATGCTGCAATTTTTGTGGTCTATCTGTGGTCCGTCCTCCTTGTCAGGTGTTCTGCCCATTGCCACTTAAGAGATTTGATTCTGTCTTTCATGGTTTGGTCACACATTAATAACCGAAATTTTAATAGAAATCTACTTAAATAATAAAATATGTAGGTATAACAATAAAAATTATGGCATTGTAGATATCCGTTTCCACAGTAACTTATAATGATAATTGAAAAATGTAAAAGTCAGTGTTCATCTTTCAGATAAAACGCAAAATTTTTGTAAAATGTTCCGAAATTTGGTGCTGAGTTTGCCAAAAATCAATTCCGCCAGCGTAAGTCAATTCTTTTCTACATAATCTGCATGACTACATTAGAATATATTTATAGTTAAAATATGTCAAAAACTAAAGACTATTATACACTTAGTTACGTTAAATGCTATTTATTTAAACACAGAAATATAAATAACAATGTATTGATAAATTTACAACCTCATTGTATGTCCGATGCATCACTAAATCATGAAATGATTAACTTTCACACTGACGAAATCTAAAACATCAGTCGCTAAAATACTTGATTAATTTAATATTTTTATATGAAAAGGTTTCAAAAAATCAGATTTAACTCATATCTGCTTTTTAGAGATAAAATTGAATAAAAAATGCAATGTGCTTTTTTAATATAATTGTTTTAACAATAATTTAGATTAGATTATATTACAGGGTGTTTCCTAAGTAGTCGTAGAAAAGTTTCAGCGTGTTAATCCTCATATGCGTTTAAGTTTTTTTTTACATAAACATAGGATCTAAAGTAGCCCCTTTCGGATCTACAGGGTGATAAAAAAACGGATTTCTGGCAATATAACAGGAACTACTTTAAATATTTTCTTCAATTTTGGTATGTTGTTTCCAGGTGGTTTAAAGGGAGTTCATATCTATTAACTATTGTTAAACAAGTGACACACAGTGGTCTGTACGCACAAACACCTGGTTTATCTGAATGAAATAATCGGTATGCCACTGTTTTGAGTAAACTGTTTTGTTCTTGATTATCCAATCCTTTTTAACAAGATGATATCTTGAGTTTTTTTTGTACATCGAACGGAGTACAAAATCGAACGGAGACGGGGAAAAAATCAACTACACTTCATATCTCAAAATTGTTAGAAAACGAGCATATATGAATATTGAGGAGGTTTTTTTTCTCGAAATCCTTTCAATATACAAATTAAAACTCGAGAGATCGATTTTGCTAAAAAAGTAATGAAAAATTTATTTCTCGAAGAAAAGGCAGTGGCGTACCGTATTATAAGCCGATAAATTCATTTTTTAATTTTTAACACTCTGTAGATCAAAAAGGAAGTACTTTAGACCGCATTTTTTATAATGATCATTTTCAGCTTATTCAACCATTTCCAATTATTGTGTAGTCTCCCTCACATATCTAGATACTCCCTTTTTGGACCTATCGTGGTCTATTGTTGGTTATGCGGGCTCAAGTTAACCCTGGCAAAACCTGGACACTTAAAACGGACATTATAGGGAAACTGCAGATCGCATAACGCTCAGTGGAATGAAATATACTGGGAATAACCAAGAATGACCATGAATAATAGAGTGGATACGACAAAAGACCCAGGTAATAGATGTCATCCACAGAATCAAATCCCTCAAGTGGCAATGGGCAGAACACCTGATAACTCATGAGGAATTAAGAAACCTAGAAGAAGACCAAACCTGCGATGGAACCACTATATTAGGAAATTAGCAGGGATGACTTGGACACATTTATATAAAATGTTTTTCTTAAAAGACATTATGATGAATCACACACTACTTTTTTTAGACTACTTAAGAACCACTCTGTGTCTTCGTTACCTAAACATATATACATCCAAGAAATAATACCGCGTATTGTCACCTCGTTTTCTTATCGCCTCTATCATACTAAGTAGCAGGCTGTTTGCAGTTTGCATTTTCTTCTCGCAAAATTTTATTCTATTCTAGACTTATGAAAAAATAAAACTCGCGTTTCGCCGTTTATTTTACTTTCCACCAGTGGCGGCTGATCCTATAGAGGACAGTGGCACGTGCCCACCCAAACGCACGGATAGAAGGCAAGAAATTTTTGAAGTAAGTATATAATTGGGTATAATAATATCGTATGATCGACAAAATACGGCGTCAAAGACGGTTGCGAAATGACAATCGAGGATAATTTTGGTGAGGTCAATCTCTAGACGTCATTTGCTAAAAATTGACATAAGATTTGTCGAAAAATTAAGGCAACTATAGAAAGATTAAAAAATGACAGAATGTCTACAAAGACACAAATATACAGTGTGTTCCAATATTCCGTGGACATAGAACTACTAAGTATTTTTGGAATCAAAATAAGTTTATTGGACACAATTTACCTCTATACAGAATTGTTTGGTTTGTCCGCTAGAGAGCATCAAACTTTAAAAAAATTGGCGCCGGGAGGCACGTATAGCCGCCCATACTGAAATATGTTAATATCTCGAAAACTGCGATTTTGACTAATTTTGATGTTATTACAAATTTTGTTGCAAATATTATTCCTAATCTTAATTTGAAAACCGCGTTTTGCTAGCTACTGTAATTTTGGAGTTACGATTTTTAAATTGTTAACCCCCTCCCATACCCCCTTACCAACCCCCCACCCCCACCAAAAACTAATGGCCAGATTCTCGGGTGCCACAGTATTTTTGTGCCAAATTTGGTTAAAATCGGTTCAGCGGTTTTTGAGTTATCGTGTTACAGACGGACAGACGGACAGATAGACACCATGAAAATATTTTGTATTCAGGTCATTTATGACCCAAATAACTCATTTTGAGTGAAATTAAAAAAAACTATTTTCTTGTCGATCTTAATAGCCTGCCATACCTATTGGTATGGTCGGCTAAAAATAAACACATTTTCAAATATTTCAAGAATCGTTATTACGATTTGAATGAGATTTTGGGTGTCTATGTATTGTTAAGTGCTTTAACATTTGACTTTCAAAAAAATCTAGAAAAAGTACGGGCAGGGTAAGAACTACCCACACCCATACATAAATTTTATTATATGTAAATATTTTCCAACTCCATCGACAACGGATTTTCTTGTTAAAATACGCCACATAGCATAGTTTTTGTGAAATTTTTTTAAAGAATTTATTTTTCCAAAGCAGACCTACAAAATATACAGCGAGTTCTAATATTTCGTGGACATAAAACAATTATTTATTTTTTGGATCAAAATAATTTAACGTTATACAAAAGTGTTTTGTTCGTTAATTTATTTAAAAATGATCAAATTTTTTAGGCATTTTATGAAGCTTCTCGTCAAATATAATTTGTGATACTAACATAAAATTCCATATTTTTTGCCAACAAAAAGAGCATAATAGATTTTATACACCTCCATAATTTTATGTGACAAAAAAAATTTTTAGAAGTCAGCTTTGGAGAAATATTATTTTTCCTCAAAAAGTATGCACGGTGGCGTTATTATACAAGAGACAAAAAATGTAGTAAATACCAGAGGAACCATTTTACGAAAAGAAAATCGGCCGTCACTTAACAAAACATAGACACGCGAAATCTCATCCAAATCGGAATAACGGTTGTTTTTAAAAATATGTTTTCTCGAAATTAAAACTACACCATTTAAAAGTCATTCTTACGCAATATAAAAGTAAATTACAAACTTCTTAAGGCCAGCTAACGGTAAACGTCATTAAAAAATTAAGAGGAGTACAGGCGAACTAAATGACGTCTAGGGATTGATCTCGCCAAAATTATAATCGGTTGTCATTTTCCAACCGTTTAGACGCCGTTTTTCAATCGTATGTTATAAAGATGGTATAAGTCTATCCAAATCTTTCAAAACTAAAATGATAGACTTATGCACAAAAATAATAGATAAGTTTTATTCTTATGGTGTGCCAACTCGCCTTCAAAACTCTCGAGCCGCCACTGCTTTTATATTGCACTATATATTTTCAAAAGTACTACATTACATGTTTCGTTGTACTAATAGTACTAAGTAACTAGTACTACTAGCTTCTTCGGCTAACAAAACTAAAGTAAATTTATATTACAATGTGTATAGAGTTCTCAGTGTTATTACAAAAAGAAATATTTAGAAAAATTAACATTATGATATACTTTATATTATATATTTTAATAGTACATCCAAATATATCCAAGATTATTGGACACATACTGATGTTTTTTATTTTAGCTTTGTCGGACATTTCTATTCTCTATATCAGACTATGCATTCTGTCAAACTTCAAACAAACTAGTAAATATCGAATTACATCATTTCGTACAAAGACGAAAGGATTTTGACAGGACGAAGATTTTTTGATAGACTACACCGAAAAAATGACATAAGATACAATTTACCGTTGAATTAAAATGTAAAATCAGAACATCTCTGTCACTGTCAAGTATCCTCTCGTTGAACCGACTTTACTTTGAACTTGTTTGTGTCACAAATTTATTTTGTATGGTTTGTTATTGATAAATATGATATGTTAGTGTTATTCAAGTATGTCGATTTTAATTAAATACACGGTTTTAAAAAACGGTTATTATTACAATTTTTACTTAGTAGGTATGTAGATGACTGTGACTTTAAATCAACATTTTCTATTCATTCTAAACAACTTTTTAAAAAAACTCCTTAAGTGTTTTGCAAGATTAGACCACTTTACTCTTGAGGTAATATTCATATACTAATTTCTTCGTATGCTATAGTCTGTCCAACGACAAGATCCTTGACAGTGATAGATGTGTCTGTCATTTTATTTTCAAATTGATTTATTTTATTTTACAAAGAATTAAGTTGATACAATTGGAACGCATAGCAGAAAATTAATATATTTAAAATTTGAGTGACAAGTGATTACTTCAAAATATTGTGAAAAAAACTGTATAAAATTGATAAAATCTAATCGAGTTATTTTATTAAAAACAATTACAGTATGTGTTAATACAAAAAAGGGTTTATTTAAAAAAAACACCACATACCAAAAAAGATATAAAAAAGATTTCCGGCTTTCAAGCTCAAGCAACTTATTTCATTTATTGTTACATTTATCAATATAATTATTCAATATGATTATTATTTACCTATCGTGTGCTACTATTTTACAGACGCTCCAGTTTTTGGTATCATATACAAGATAGTATACAAACTATAATTGTTGCTAATACATCTTTCTGCCCATAATCTCTGGCAAACTGTCTCTGGCGGTCTCTGGGCACCGAATTAACTGTAAACTATGGCCTGGGTCAACACTTAATTTTCCCGCAAGTTTTCCTCCACTTAATTTTAAAAAATACGAAACACACGTAATAACACAGTCTAAGATGCAAACTGCAAAATATTTATCATTTCTATTTGACACAATTTGACACAAAATTATAACCTATAAATTGGCAAGAGTTTGACAACCATTGACAACTCTCAAAAATCTTAAGACGTTAAGTGAGTTTGAAAGGATGGAGGGGACTTTTACCAAGAATGAAAATTTATGAAGAACCTAAAATATAAAGATTTTCCATAATATAATGAGTCATATCAACATTCTTGAAAACTCCAGATAAAAATAAGTAAAAAAGTTGGTATAAATATCCTAAAGTGCTTCGTTTTGGAGATAGAGGGTGTAGAAGTTTAATTATAATTTCTATTAGATTTTTGTCAACTAATTTCTGAATTAACGTCGTTATGTAAATTGATGTCAGGGTATTTTTTGACATGATAAATTTGATTTCGACGTCAATATGGCTCCTACTTTTAGAGGGCGCCGCCTATAATATGTTTTTAACTGTTTTATAAAGTAATAAATTATTTGTCCATATACCTGTAATAAACTACTGTATAAAAAAATATACACTTCCGCTGTTTTTTGCGTAAAAAGTACATGCCATTATTGAAAAAAATTAAGATGTTGCCTAGATAGGTATTTGACTGAAAAGATAAATTTAGAACTTTTTTATTATTTTTAAATTAAAATCATATTTTTTCTAGATCGGATTGTTTTTCGGTCACTTCCTTTTTCAGCGGAAATCACTAGAACTTTTGATTTTTAAATGACACTCTCGGTATTTTATATTTTACTCGATAGAACAGAATGACATATCATATGTCAACTTTTGACATTTTCGCTTAAAACAAAATTGTATCTCAAATTTCAATTTATAGTGCCCTGGCTGTGTTAAAAACACTAATTTTTAATAATGCAGCCTCGAAAAAATATATTTTATCGTCTAGTGTTGTTAGTGTCTGGTCCTGGCCGGTTAAAAGATGCCCAAATCATATCTTTAATCATATCTCAATGTTTTCAAATGGAACGAGAGTGAATACGCATAATTTGATACTACACACTTTATATTTCAAGACAAATTTTCTTTATGAACCACATTTTACAATTTCAAATAAACTATAGACATGTGAAAATGTCAAGGTGAGATATGTGTCATTCCATTCAGAGTGTCATTATCGAATAAAGTAAAAAATACCGAGAATGCCATTTAAAAATAAAAAGTTGTAGTAATTTCCGGTGAAACAGAAAGTGACCAAAAACAATTGAATATGTCAATCAATGCCAATTCATGTCATATACTAACATACCAAATCTCGTTTTTTTCTATCTGAAAAAATAAAAAAGTTATAGGGGTGAGCCACTTTTGAGACGCATCCGGTATACATCACTCAGAAAAAACAATACTGAACATTATAGGCCGTTCTAGGTAGGAATGATATGTATTTCTAAGGAAAATTTGATAAATTATTTTAAAAAATAACTAGTTCATTAATTATAATACACTAAGTACACTAAAACTAAAATAAATATAGTATGTCTACTAAAACTGTCCTGTAATGCACTTAATGCATGGAAAACAATATAAAATTATTTGTAAAGAAGCCGAAAACTGCTGAGCACAACACGATGGCGGGCAATATGGCGGCTAATGTCAAATTACGAGGCAATCTGTTTAATTTAATAACCTGGATATTGACATTGAAATCAAATTTGTCGTGTTAAAACGCACCAATTTTCATCAAAATTCGACTTTCAGAAACTTAAAAAATATATATGGTAATCGCAAAACAATTTCCGATGCACGTGATCAAGTTTGAGTGACAAGCGATGGCGACAGCGCTGCCAGATTGTGATAGATTTATGAGATGAATCTTAATTTAAAACTGACAAACGATATATTTATTATATCATTTTTTAAACATTTTTTCGCGTTTTATTTTTAATTTAATAACTAATATTTTAGTAATTAATTGATTTGTTTTATAGCTTATTTTACTTATTACATATTGGCAAAAACTAGTCTATTATGAAGATTATTCTAAGCGTTATTATGGATTATTTATTTATTTATTCATATACATCTTACAACGCCATAAGTAGTAATAACAAGTAAGAGGGTGGTATTAATGCGCAAACTAATAATTATAGAATTTAATAAAAACTAACGTAGAAATAACTTTGAAAATGGTGTAATGTGCTTATCAATCAAACTTACTTGTCTGACTGCAGTCAAGGGTAATAAAAGACTTTTATTGTTACGTTCTCGTTCAAAATAGTTTATCAGGGAAGCTACAAGCTCTTTACTTCGACTGTTTAAATGCTTCGGCATATTTTCAACACACAATTTCAAGAAATGCAATAGAAAAACTCGAAAATTTAGTTCTTAAAAGAACTGTTTGTGCTTAAAAGTACAATTTTTTAAAAAAAGACTATGAAAATAGGCAAAAAAACACGAGAATTACTCAAAAAGATTCAACAACAACACCATATACAAAATAATGACTGACATTGTTACACAATGAACTTTGTTTAAAAATTGTTAAACAATAAAGGACAACCTTGCTGAAGACGGAACAATGTGACCAACAAAGCGATAATAAAATTCAGTTTAAACTAATTTTTGCAGCTTATCTAAATAAAATATCTGTTACAATCATTTGCACTATAAAGTAAAATGAAGAGCTGCTCGGCATCTTAAATTATACAACAAATTTAACCATTTTTGCCAAAATTTCATTTAGTCAGGTTTATAGACTTTAGTGTCAATGTCGATATGATTAATGACGTGCATCGGAAAATGTTTTTCTATTACAATAAATGACAGTTCCGCACCCTATTTCTCGAAAAAATTTTAGGACATGATCTCATACAATTTTTTTAGCTACTTTTATCTGCAGAATAAGTTTCCCGATTACAATTCGAAGGACACTCTATATCAGTCAGGGGCGGATATAAGAATTTATTTTAGGGGGCCCAAATAAAATTAATGTAGAATATGCTTTTTAGAGCGCCATTTTAAAACCAAAAGCCTAATATTTAACCCAATTTATAGATCTTAGGGGGGGTGCATGGCTTAATAGGCCCCCCTCTGTATCCACCACTGATATCAGTAGTATTAATTATTTCCTAATATTTCATATAATACACTTACTATTTGTTCCAGAAACAAGCAATTTCATCTTTACGACGACATCATCCACGATCATTGTCACCTGTTAAAAGAAATCACTTCAGCGATAAAGATGTCGTGAACGAGTCGCTATCTTGCTCGAAAATAGGGCAGGCGCCCCAGCAAGAATCGGCGGGCAAAATTGCAAGGCACCAGTCTAGAACACTATGTTACAGTAAGGAATTTTACGGTAAATTATCTAAATATATTATTATTCGAAATATATGCTTGATATCTACAGCCGATTTACTAAAGATGGCGACTGCAGCATATGGAATATTCTAAAGCAGAAAGAAATAAACATATAACAATGATACATTCACTCGATTATACAACTCTACGTATATTTTCCCTATTAGAAGGATATGATTAATAAGTGATACTCATTTAAGTGACTATCGCTTTGTGGCCATATTGTAATGGTCATTTTTTGAAATATTAATTCAGAAGTAATTTCTGTCAGTTCGTTTCGGTTTTAGAAAAAATCGGAGAACAAAAACTCATTAGGGATGTGATTATCTACAACTTTTATCTGAAAACTTTGTGTATAAAATATATTATTATGGAATTAGGGACAATTTGTAAAATAGCCAAAATTGTTTTTTTTTTCGAAATATCTAGTAATCTCATGTCAACTTTTTCAAAAATCTGAAAGGCGCATATTTATGACCCCACAAAACTGAAATTCTTTCCACATTTAACCGACACTCTATCTCCAGTAGTTTCCGAGATACCCATAGAGAACTTCGTAGGAAATTCGCCCTGTATATCTAGACAGACTAGAGTACGCAACAAACATTTGAAGTTAAAATTACGTTAAATTAACCACCTGGACTATTATTGACCAACTGGAAATTGGTCCAAATTCCAAGAATTGACGTTAAAATTCCCAGTGTTGGGAATAAAACTAAAGTAATTTGGAAGTTAAAAACAGGTTAACAGGTTATAATGTCTTGTATGAAATATGATGGGCTATGAAGTCAAAAATAACCGACCTGAGGTCATAACATGGTAAAATAGAGGTAAATTTTACTAAAAATAGTCCTAATTTATACTACCTACATTTTAACATGGGAAAGAAAGAGAAAGAATAAGGCAAAGCATTTTTCTTTTTAATATGTGTATGTAAATGAATTTCTCAATAATGAACCAGGAAGACAAACAAATGTAGTAATAACTGACATGGTCGTTTGAACATTAATTCAATATGGATGAAATACCTACATATATGCACTTCCTAGTAAATGTAAATAAGTTATTGGTAAGAAGTGGATTATCGGATTCGCAAGATAATTATGTCTGCGGAGAACATTTTTCTGTGAGATGTAAATATGATAGGCCCTAAAAAATTATGCGCCAGTAAAATTTTATGTATTTTCAACAATTAATTTTAGAATAAATCGTTACTCTCAAGGTTCTAACCTAACTTTTTTTCAGCTAACTTCCTTGGTACACTTTTAAAGTTCTTAATTAGTTAATTTAACTTGTGGTAGGTAGTATTATTCATAAACGTCTGTTTATTTTTCTCAATAGTTTAGAACAATATCACAAAAAAATATTTTTTGAAAACAAATTGGATAAGAAAATGGCCACTAATGGTGTTTTTAACTATTCGTCTATGAAGTTAGGTTTTTCATAATTTTAAAACCTTAAAGTCCGCTTTCTTTTTATGAGGTTAAGATTTCTTTAAATTAATAACCTCGAAGGTCAAGATTTCTTGCTTAAGGTATTTTTCCTTCGAGGTGCAAGTTAAAAAATGGGCTATATTAGGTCGAAGCTCATTTCTCGAAAGTCTGACTTTTGGAGTATCGCCGGAAAAAGAGAAAACTTGTATTTTCTTTGAGTGACAGTTGACAATGATATTTTATGCTAAATTCGGTAATTACATCTTCGAGTAATCCGATTAACTTTTCACAGTAATCATGTGTCCTAAAATGAGAATATTTATTGAGAGTCACGTGACATGTCAAATTTTTATCCTTTTGCTAGCCGATGCAATTACCGAACTCGCCTAAACTAGAACAACCTACCAAACAATTTCAACCTAACCAAATTAGTTTTCTTTGCTTATCATTTGTAAAAGTTTTGTGTTTTAGGATTGTGAGTGTTATTATAGAGGACTTTTTGTTTTTATTGCACATAATGGACACGTTTAAGATTGTGTCGGTAATAAAAAAGAAACGCATTGAATATTCTTTCGTTCCCCACCAGTGGTAAATGGTAAGGTAATGTGCTGTGACATAATAATCCCTCGAAAACTATTTTAAAACCTGCCGTATGTCTGACTTTCTTCCAAGTCAAAAAACTAATTTACTTTTACCTTCGAAGCATAATAGCGACTTATGAGGTCGAAATAAATTAAATTTTCAACATAATTTGAACTCCTCCAAATAAGGTCCCATTTAAAGTTGTTAACAACTAAATTTTAACCTAACTTGAAAACCAAACAATGCCTTCGACCCTCGAGACAAATTTGAGGTTATAATAAAGTAACATTTAACCTACTTTAAGTCCCTGTAGTCATAATGCCCTCAAGAGGTTATCAGTAACTAGATTTTAACAATGCCAGATAACTCCAACGTTGCTGCTTTTCAAAGGCATAATTTTAGGTTATTATTAACAAGTTTACGACCTCATTTTTAGATTTCTTGCACTTTATTCCCTACAAGAAATTTATTAAGTTAAATATAAGTAAAATTCAACCAAATAGTGGTTAATTTTCCGTGGTCAATGGTTTTTTCTCCTTCCTATGCTACTTGGGTAGGCTAATACCACAAAAGATAATTTTCTTTTCAATATTTTAGCTCAAGAAAAGCGGGAAAACATAAAAGAAATTAAATGGCGAGATGATCCTGGTATGAAAAATCAAGCTGAAGAGAAAGTACAGGAAGAGATGTTAACTGCTACAGAGCCAAATCAGTATGAAATACTGGAGCAATACGAACTAGAAGCTGCCCGCCCCAGACCAGAAAAGAATCAAGATGTATTTCTGGAATTTAACAAGAAAACTGAGAAGGATGCTCCTTTCAGTCACCTACAACCGGACCAATTACGACCATATGGATCTCAAGATAATTTATACTCGCCTTCATTAATTCGACCAACAAATTCATTAAAGTATCCAAGAAGGCAATTAAGAAAGACGATACAAGAGAAGAAAGAAGCTGAAAGCTCATATTCCACCGACCTCGAATCTCCTCGACATCGAAATTATTGTACTCTACCAAACACGGCGGTAAACGATATGAAGAATCTATCAACTTCCCAGACGTATGTAGGAAAGGAAGAAATTAAAATTGAGAAGCAGCACACGCGGCCCAGAAGACGAGTTAGGATAGAAAGTGACCACGAAAAGTTAGTCAAAGAAATTCAAAAAATTGCAATGCAACGCTATCAAACTGGGCATACAAAAACTGAAATATACCAACCAGCTTATTACGAAAAAATTGATGAATCGCCAATTCCGATAAAGTTTTCTACTGCCAAAATGAGAGAAGAACGAAAAAAGAAGGAAAACAGTAACATTGGCCTGTATTATAAGTCCTCGTACTCTGATTTAGTCAAACTAAATTTCCAAAAAAACCAAGACCAATGTAGCAATAATTTAACTTCAAAAAGTTGTATAGGGCCTATCTATATTCCAACTATTCCTACTAGAAAGGCAGCAAAAGATCAAATATTAACTATACCAAAAACGGATTTAAGCGTAAGTTCAGGACAAAGAACTATAACGACAAAATCCAAAACAAATATTGCAGCAGATAAAAATAACTTTGGCAAATCATGCCTACCATCGACCGCACAGCTCAATTCGCCGGAAATCGTGAACCTAAGGAATTATTCAAAATCGAATAGCAGAAAAAAGGCGCGAAGTAAAGCGAGGAAGTACAATCCCGAATGTGAAGATATTTGCACCGAGCAGATGAAGAAACGAGAGAAAATGAATCCGAAAAATCAAAATCCACCTTATGAAATTCAAAAATGCGATGACGGGAGGGGGCCGAGAACAGAATTTTTACCGTCCAAAGTTAAAATGACCGTACCGCCGTGTACTCCTAAGCCGGACTATCATTGTAAACCTCCGAAGAAGTGTCCGCCTAGAGCCGATGAATGTTTGAAAATTGAACCTAAAAAACTACCCTATTTGAAGCCTGGCGACTGTCCTTGCATTGATCCGTACGTCCCAACATACTCACCCAAATTGGAGAAGCTATGTATGAAATTCGAAGATCCTCCGAAAGTTCAGTGCCATGTACCTCCGTGTCAAACGCCTAGAGCTGACGATACAAATCCCTACAAGTTCAAGCCTCTCAAACCGTACGTGCCTGGAGACTGCGACTGTGTAGAACCACCAAGAATGACTGACGTCAAACTGAAACGACTGCCAAGATGTGAACCGGAAGAGGTTTGTTAATATCAATATTTCTTGTAAAACTATCTCATTAATTTAGTATTTTCTTTCCCCGTAAAATATAGGATCAAACTATTTTTTATGCAGAAAGGCATTGGATTTAGAGCTCCGACAGACAGATTTTTTAGTTAGTCTATTTTTGTAACTCTCTTTAAAATTTAAATAACACCAAACTAAAGCAACATCTTTTATAAACTCACATAAGTATAATAAAACAGAAATTTGTTTTACATCTAATATATCATAAGTTAAGTTACCTTTAAACGGCCTCTACACTAGTCGCGTAGTAAGTCGTAATAACGAAGTCTAATTTTGTCTCTTCTTGGCTTATTTTCACGGGAAAACACTACTTCGGCTTACTTCGTGAGTAATGCAGAGGCCGTTTTACACACTACAGTTGATATTAATGGTAGATTTTATTTTGTGGTTAACATAAATTTTTAGAATTTTATAAAAATTGTTAATAATTTTCCTGATCAAATTTTTGGTTCCAATTTTTATGTAGCCTGGTTATATTTCACCATAACTTCTTTCGGAATCAGATTTTAAGTATTTTTCGCCACTTTATCAGTTTTTTAATAACTATGTTCCTTTAATAGCTTTCTCATTTAAGTAACTCGACTTTGACGTTACTAAAATTAGAGCATTGATATACCAAAGCATTTTCCCCATCAAACTTAAATTTTAAGTCAGTACTTACACTGTCATCATCATCATTATTTTCTGCTTATTCAACCATTTCTAATTATGGTGTAGCCGCCCTTACATTCTCTCTTTGTAGTTGGGACCATTGTTGTCTATTGTTTGCTATGCGGACCCAAGTTATCCCAGCTAATTTCCTAATTTCATGGTCCAATCTCAGGTTTGGTCATCTTCTAAGTCGCTTGCCAGGTATCCATTACCATTTGAGGGATTTGACTCTATGAATGTGACATCTATTACATGGGTCTTTTGTCGTATCCACTCTATTCTTTTGCGGTCTCTCTTGGTTGTTCCCAGCATATTATTTCTTTCCATTGAACGTTGTGCGAGCTGCAGTTTCCCTATGATGTTCGTTTTAAGTGTCCAGGTTTTGCATGCAGAGATCATGACTGGTAAAATGTCTTTTCTTTCCACTAGTTTGTTGTATATTACTGTAGTTTTTGCTACATTCATTTTGAGACCCATTACATTGCTGGCTGGATTTAGTTGGTTAATTTATGCTCGTAGTTCTTCTGGACTATTGGCAACTCGATTGGCAATTATGTTCATCAGCGTATCTTAGATGGTTAAGATATTCTCCATCTATTTTCAATCCTTTTTTGGTCCAATCCAGTTGGCCGAAGATTTCTTCTAATGTTGGTTGCTTTGGGGATATTCCGTCTCCCTGTCGTAGTCCTTTTCCAGTTGGGAACTGACACTGTATCCACGAGTAAATACAGTAATATCCAAAACATACATAAACAGATTAAAAGACGTCTGAATTACTTAAAAATTTAGGTTTTATCCGACCAGTATGAATCAACTAAATGGTATTTTTAATATTTAGGTATGCAGGCCACCCAGAATTTGCCCAGTTATAGATCCGTGTCCTCCGAGGGCTGATGAATGTTTAGTGGACGAACCTAAACGTTTACCACCGCTGGAAGACTCACCGTGCCCTTGTATCGATCCCCCCGTTCCAAATAAAGCGCCACGGATACGTAGGCTCAATTTAAACGTCCCCGAGCCAGAGAGAGTGTGTCCTAGACCACCCCCATGTCACTTAAAACAGAGAGCCGATGATCATTTAGTGGTACCAAAGAAGAAATTGCCCAAGTTCATTCCCGGAGATTGCCCGTGTGAGGTAAAATTTTAGTATATTGTTTAAACTTACATCAGGTATATTCCATTATGATTATCCGTATTGTATTGTTTCCAGTAATAAATACAGGGTGTGTGCAATATTCCGTAGACATAGGACTACTACGTATTTTTAGAATGAAAATAAGTTTATTGGACACCATTTACCTCTATGCAAAAGTGTCCATTTATCCGTTAGAAGTAATGATAAAATAATTCAAGCGAAAATTCGCTCGAGTACTCGATTATTAAAGTAACAGACATCACTCGATTATGAACAACCGATGCAAGTTATGAGTTACGAGCGACGAACGCAAGCAATCCTATCGAGCGAATTTGCTACATACATTGCAGGTTGGCAATATTTTAACAGCATTTTTGGTAAAATATCTTCAAACAGATTGTTCTTTTGATTGTAATCGCGTTGCCAATTATAGAACTATACGACGTTATCTGTTACCTCACTGAGTCACAAAATTTTAATACCTACATCGACAAAGCTTCGATGCATGATCAAGCCAACTACTTCATAACCATGGTACAATAAACAGTTATACCGTGCTGGCAACTGTTACTTTTGGGTCAGCATTTACATGTGTGGAAGTAAATCGCATAGGGATCTTATTAAGTCGGAGTGAGAGAAATGCGACCGACCGACAAGACGCGCGACGGTGTGCTGTTGCGGCGTTGCTGATACGCCTTTCCTTATCAAGTAAAGTAAAATCACGATCGCAAACCACTTATTTTTAAAAGACTTTTTTTCAAGAGATAACTAGATAAAATCATTAGACATGTTTCTGAGCATCTGAAATGGAATTATAAGGATATCGTTAAGGTTTTCTTCATTTTTTTCTAACGAGAAAACGTCAGTAATCGCGATAATTTAAAAACTTAACACATAACAGGCTATAGCTCAAAAACCACTTTAGATATTGAAACTTTTTTTATTTTCAAGATCGGATATTTTACATAAGAAAAATTCGATAAGGTTGTTTTTTCAATTCAAAAATTGTAAACAATCCATCCATTTACTTTTAGATCATAGCAATTTTCAGCAATCGTGTAATTTTTTTATTGATAAAAATTTTCACATACTGTCTACAAAGAAAATACAGCAGAAATATTAACAAAGTTCTTGAAAAAACTACAATCTATTATTTCTAATAGATTTCGAAATATCGATTTTTGAATTCAGAGTTCTAATAACACGACCACTATCGAACACCCACTCAATTCCACTTATTTTTACCAAAAATGCAAGTGTTTCTAGCTTGCACTTAAAAAAAAATTCAAGCTATAGGAAAAATTACAACGACTCGTTAATAAATAAACAAATTAAGTAACACGAGACGTAATTAAATCGTGAATCTGAACGCATGACGTACACCTTTCCCTAGAACTTTAAGTACTGATAGAGGTATTGATTGGGTCGACCTGTCAACTGCGACAAATCTGCTATATCCCCTTCCACATCTCTTAGGTGCGAGGTGCACAGTTTCTCGGTTTATTTCATGCGTTTGGCAACGTGTTTACTGTCCCCTCTTTGTTCAGTACATTGTAAAAACGCATTGTACTCTTCTTACATACGGAAATCTCGACCCGAGACTAACCTTTGTATACTATACTACCCTTAGTATATAAATCGTTTATTGTATCATGCTCCATAACTACTCGTCGCTTGCCACTGGCCTCTATCATCGAAAGAATATACGCTGTGCGCACGCAGCTTATTGTTTAGCGTTACGAGTACAAGTGACGGCGAAACACCGTATTTTTAAATACGACCGAAATGTCGCTCGAGCGATCGCTCGATTATTGAAATCGCTTGAAACTCTTGGGTACTCGATTATTAAAATTTATCGGTTTTTCACATCACTACTTAGAAGGCATGAAACTTAAAAAAATAAACCCATTTTTTAAGATATTTTAAAAACCATAATTCCGATTTGCATGAGATTTGCTGTGTTTATATTTTGGTAAGTTTTTAAATATTCGATTTTCAAAAAAATCAAGAGAAAGTACGGAAAGGGTAAAAACTACCCCCCCCCCCTCCAACCACTAATTTCTAACACCACCAACCACTATTTTTTTTTTGTAAAATGGCCCCTCTAGTATTTACTACATTTCTTGTATCTTGTAAAAGAAACGCCACCGCGCATATTTTTTAAGAAGCTGACTTACAAAAAATGATTCTTGTCACATGAAGCTATGAAGGCACATAAAAACTATTATGCGCTAATCATCTAGTTGGCAAAAATATGGAATGTTAGTATCACGAATGATATTTGACGATAACAGTCATAAATTTTAAATTAATTATCGTTCGGGTTTATTTTTGAATGATGCCCACTTGACTAGACAAACGAAGCACTATTGTATAGAAATATTTTTGATTACCTACACTGTAAAAAAAATGAGTGAAATTTCACTCAGATTTCACTCAATACTTTCTCAATTTCTGTCCACACCCGATTGAGTGAAATTTCCACTCTACAGAACCGAATGAATCTTCAATTCTCAGAGTGAAAAGCACTGAGTGTTTTCACTCAATCGAGATTAGACGAAAGACTCCTTTTTTACTCATTATTGTTACCTTGAGTAGGATTTTGATCGATTTTGATAATTTATTCACTTTAAAATGAGTGAACTCACTAAGTGTTGAGTTCAAGACACCTTTTATTGAGTGACTTTTACTCAAATTTGTGTTACACTTAACTCGATTAGTACTCATATCTGAGTATTAATTTCACTCAGTATTGAGAAATATATTCTAAATTATTTTTTTAAAAGCTATATGTAAGCTAACTTGTTATTTTATAACAGGTGGGCAGGTGCCTTTCAAAGGTAAGTTTCAGTTTAGGACATGGTCTCGAACATGTCCATTTCCTAAAATTCACTTTTGGGAGGCATCTGGTCACTTGTAATAAAATAACAAGTTAGCTTACATAGCTTTTAAAAAAATCATTTAGAATATTTCGTTTTTTTTAACAAACCAAATAAAAAACTGTAGAACCTTCAAAAATATTTTTATTTGTCATTTTTATTTGACAAAAAAACAAATAAAACCAAATATAACACTATTATTATAATATCAAAAACATTTTAAAAAGTTTTCAACTCTTTTTGGAAAAAATACAGGAACTTTTTAAGCTAGATGTCTAGAAAAGTTGCATCACATCGCAAAAATCCGCTTTATTAAGAGCATTCGTCAGCTCGGCTACCAACATTCTCGAATATTTCTAATTTCTAAACTAACTTTTAATAACGAAAATCCTCCGGAAAATCCAGATACTTTTCCTCCTGAAAATTAAAAAAAAATGTTATTCTGCCAAATGTTCCAGTTCCCAGTTCCAGATTGAGGGAAAGTACCTAGATTTTCGCTACGCTAATTAGTCCAGGAAACATCCGAGCATTGCGGCAATCAGTAGACGCAGTCGAATTTGAATATATGTTAGGCGGATTTCTGCGATGTGAAAAAAAATGTTCTTAACATAAAACATATTTAGGAGTTATGAGTTCGTATTCGCTTCACCACGCCACGCGGCCACTGTCACACTTTACATCACACACACATACACTATGGACTTGTAACCTGGGCACCTTCGAAGGAACAAGACAACCTACGACTCGAACAGATAATTAAAAACTGAGGAACAGGGAAATAGCTTATTCGGTATCGAAGAAGCGCGTATGACGTATGATTAGTAATGAGCGAAAATACTCTAAACTGGGTGATTTCACTCAAATTTTTATTGTGTAAAACTATAACATGAGTTTTTAAGTTAATTTTTCTATTCCATTACTCAAAGATAGGGGTTATAACTCGAACATGAGCTTATTCAATAGCTATTGATTAAATAGAGATCATATTTGAGTAAAATGATGAATTTACTCTATTTTAGATAAAAATGTACTCAATTATTTCACTCAAAAAATTCACTCCCTGAGAAATATGTGTTCACTCAGGCTGATTTTTTACAGTGATATATATATTATTTTGATTAAAAAAATACGTAGTTGTTCTATATCCACGGAACATTAAAACCTGTATATTTTGAACATTATTCCCTGTATATTTTGTAGAAAAATTCTCCAAAAAAATGTTTTTTCAAAAAATATGCGTCGGTGGAGTTAATATTGGAGTAAAATATTAATACCAAAATTTATATAGGGGCGGGGGTAGTTTTCAACCTTCCCGTATTTTTTTATATTTTTGTTAAAATCTAATTTTAAAGCACTTAGCAAAACATAGCTATACCAAATTTCTCTTATCGTAATAACGGTTTTACAAATATCTTAAAAAATGTGTTTATTTTTTTAAAGTTTAATGCCCTCTAACGGACAAACTATTGTATAGAGGTAACTTGTGTTCAATAAACTTATTTTTATTCCAGAAATACGTAGTAGTGCTATGTCCACAGAATATTGGGACTACAGGGTGTCCCAGTATTCCGTGAACATAGAAAACTACTACGTATTTTATGAAGAAATTTTATATTGAAAAAATTGTGAGTGCTGGGAAGGCCCAAGGAAACAATTATATTTTGTGCAACTTTATTATCACTTCTTTGGGCACTAGACGGGAAGCGCATTTTAATAAAAAAACAGAATCGAGTACAGCACTTACCTAAACATTATTATAATTCCAAATACCTGTTAGCATCAAGTGTTGATGATGCTAACACGATTAGCAAATTCCACGTCCAGTGTAAAAATAAAAAGTTTTGGTATATTGTGATAAAAAAGAGTTTCATATTGCTGTTCGGTTATTGTTCGAACAAAAACTATATTCTACAAAATAGAAAATATAGATTTTTGTAAAAGTTTTTTTAAAGAGTCTATTCCAATTTTAACTGTCTATTATTTTCCTTTAAAATCATATTTGCTCTAGCAAATAATTAAATTGATACTTAGAATGCACTTATAATCGTTTCTTTCTCGTTTCTCTTCGATCTGTCTTTGCAGTTTCATCATCTTCATCAAGCAATATAGACCACAAGTAGATCTTTATTGGTAGAATATCTAAACGTGACAAGTTGCGTCCCTCGCCTTACAGTAAAATAATCATGTTTTTGGCAGATAAAAATTATTATTTCATAGGTTTGTTAATTAAGACCAAAGGGAAATTTATGCTAAGTTATTAATCTTATTTTCTTCCTCAAAAGCGAATGTCTAAGTATATCAAAAAACTATTTAGACGAAAAAAAAAAATAGAGGAAAGATGCACCTTGATGATAAAGTGATTTTTAAATTCCTTACTTTTTTAAACCATTCAACAGGCTGTTTTGAAACTTTTCCTAAAATAGCAACATTTTACTTTTCCTCTTACAATAGACAGAATAGGACTTTAATTGTTAATTTAAGAAAAGGCTAAGTGTCTAATAATTTAGCATACACATTTCATAAAAAAATCAAAAACGATGCTCTAGAACAAAATATATTTCACCTTAAAATACATGAAAATTTTAAGGTGTATCTGCCCATCACGCGAAGTCTGTAATTTGACACTTAACTTAAACTATGCTGAACTCTGATCTGTGATTTTTAAAATAAAAATCAATAAACATAAATAAATATATGTGTGTGTTATTTAGGACAGGCCTATGGTAGATTGGCAATTGAAAAGACTGGAATGCGTGGATGATCCGGAGGATTGTGTAGTACCAGATCCTTGCAAAACGTTTCCTAGAGCTGACTGGGGTTGTTGGGAATACAGCCAAGAGCAATGTGACGAGGTCGACGAGAAATGCATAGAGAAAAACAAAAACTGTGTACCACCACCTCCACCACCAAAAGACTCGTGTGATAAGGATCCTTGCAAAAATAAGGGATTGCTAGATTATCGGTATGGTATTTCTCCCTTTATATTTTACTGCTACTACATACTGTCTGCCCAGCAATCGTTCAACGTAACGTCATTATTCTTCTTATTGTGCCTTGTCAGCTCCCCCTGATATTGGCAATCACGATTGTGAGCTGATCCTTCCTTCCAAATTTGTTTCCTTCCTATTTTGCTCTTCATTATAGGATCCGGTAACGATTTCCTCTAAGAACATGGTCGAGGTATGACAGCTTTCGGTATTTAACTGGTTGTCAAAAGTTCACGAACTGCATTTGCCCTGTTTAAGACTGCTTCATTTCTTTGCATAGCCACCCATGGTATTCTTAGCATTCGTCAATGTAACCAAATTTCAAATACCTCCAGACGTGTGATTGTGGCAGCCTTGGGCGTCCAGATTTCAGCTCTGTCTAAGAGCACACACCAGATGTAACATTTAATAATTTTTTGTCTCAGCTTTAAGTTCAGACTATCGTTACAAAACAGTAATATCATCTTCTGGAATATTGTACGGGCCGATTCAATCCTGCATCTAATTTCCCTATCCGGGACAAGTAGTTTCTCGGTGATGTAGCATCCAAGGTATTTAAAATTGGATACTCTCTCGACGTTCTCTCCATTTATCTGTAGTGACGCGTTGAGGTATGGCTGGCGCGGCGACTGAAGACCATGAACTTTGTCTTAGAAACATTTATATTCAGTCTCATTTCCTGTACCATTGCATTAACAGAATCTATGAGATTTGGAGATCATGACACAAGATAGCCGTATCGTCAGCATAGCGAATGGTGTTTATCAGCTCAACGTTGATTTTGACCCCGAATTCTTTTTCATATAAAGCCTCTTTAATATCGTCATTATTATTTGTCAAATATGCGTTTTAGGGTGTTGAGATCAGTATATATTGCCTAGAAATTTTTAAGTTGTATTAATTGGGTGAGCTCCGATTTTATTAAATTCATGTAGGTATTTTAGGGTTTTATTGATTGCCTTAGGGTCTTATTGATGCAGTTAATTTGTGTTTAGTTAAAGCTACACACGTTTGCATAGTATTTACTTCATATGCGGCCTCGACGGGCAAAAGTGTTCTACCAGTGTCTCTTTTCTCGCGTAAAATAAGTAATAAACTTTGCGATGAGAACTTGATCATTCTTGCTAAATTGACAACGCACTTTAGTAATAAAAAAATAATTTTAAATATAATAAACGTTAAAATCAAATGACAATGACAACTCCTAAAAGCAAATTTTGACAGTGATCAATATCCGCCAATAAAATTATAACCTCAAATCAAATGACAATGGCAGAAATAATTTAAATACAAATAATATTCATTTTTTAATTCTCCATTTCTCCACAAACAAAAGAACAACTAAAAACAAAATACAACTTTAAATACACATATGTATGTAAGTATGTCCATATAAGCGATACCAAATAAACTTTTAGTAACGTCATCGAAGGCGCGATTATTAAAACCATTGTTGGTAATTTTTAACAAAGGAATAATATACAGGATGTTCCATTTAAAAAAACATCCCGAACCACTCACACTTTTTGAGCCACCCTGTGGAACCCTGTTTAAACTATTTTCCTGAAATACATCCTAACACATACTTTAGGTTGGCACTTATACAAGATTCCTAAGTTTCTTATTATAGTAGCTACAGATTCCCGACGCACTGTTACCGGGCCCGTATAAAGTACCGTATGATCGAATAAAAACGGCACCAGCGATGGCTATGAAAGAAGATCGTTGTCATTTTATATGTAAAATTATATGGGAAATGTCATTGATCGTCATTTCATAGCCATCGCGGACGCCGTTTTTATTCGATCATACGGTATTAGAAACGACTTTGAACAGTGGCAACCCCTATTTGCGGTAACTTTTTCATAGACAACCTTAAAACATCATCCACAGAATAAAAATAGCTTTAATTTGAAATATAAACGATCAAAACATTTTATGAACGTAATGTCGTCCCCAAAATCAATAATTATTATTAATTAATTAAACAAATTTGCGGCAACTTTTTGATTGGCACCCTGTTAATTGTGTATTGCTCTATTCGTAAATATACGAAAAAACTGGGTTTTTGGTTAAAATTGTGATGAGCCCAATAATGACGTCACCAACCCATTTCATCTGGGTGTCAAGTTAAAGAGAGAGTTTGACAATATATGACGTGATGTTGAACGATAACTGAACAAACAATATTTTTAGCTTTTCTACCATGTAATAGTTATACCTCTGTTACAAATACAGGATTATCCAATGCTTTGAAATAGCACCATATCAAATTTTCTATCTGAGCTCTATACTCCAAGTGTATAAAATATTTGTGCAATAGTAGCGCACATTTTAAAACACCTTGTGTTTTATATCCTAAATAAATAATGACCTTTTTTGGCTAAATAACCTTTTGTTCAGTTAAGAACTTCCTATAACCTAACTTTAAAATAGTAATAATTTTTACTTTTTCAAAAAAGTCGTAAACATACTCGTAAACATATCAACAATAAATATACTTTTACCTAATTTATTTGTTGGACGCGCGGTACTGCTACTCTGTCTATCCTTGGTCAGGTACAATCGTTCACGCACCAAATTTGAATATGAAGTTTGAAAATTGATATACCTCAAATCGGTGCGTCTCAAAAGTGGCTTACTCCTATAACTTTTATATTTTTTTCAGATAAAAAATCGAGATTTATTGGAATATTAATATATAACATATATTAGGATTGATTGACGTATTCAATTGTTTTCTGTCACTTCCTGTTTCACCGGAAATGACTACGACTTTTGTTTTTTAAATGGTACCCTCGGTGTTTTGTTGCTTTATTCGATAGAAAATGACACTCTGAATAGAATGACATATCATATGTCAAGTTTCGACATTTTCGAATTTGGTTTATATGGAATTGCAACATGCGATTCATAACGACAATTTCACTCCAAATACCAAGTGTGTGGTACCAAATTATTCATAAAAAATCCTTTTTCCAAATATGCTAATGAGCCACCCTCGTTCCATTTGAAAAACCTGATATATGATTAAAAATACGATTTGAGCATTTTCTAGCTGGTCAGGACAAGCCACTAAAAACATTAGACGATCAAATCTATTTTTCCAAGGCTCCTTGATTAAAAATTAGTGTTTTTAACACTACCATGACACTCTATATTGAAATTTAAAATTTAATTTTGTTTTAAGCAAAAATATCAAAAATTGACATATGATAAGCCATTCTATTCAAAATGTAATTTTCATACCGCGGGTGCCATTTAAAATGAAAAGTTGTAGTCATTTCCGGTAAAACAGAAAGTGACCAAAAACAATTGAATACGTCAATCAATCCTAATTTAAGTCATATACTAACATACCAAATCTCGTTCTTTTATCTATTAAAATAAAAAAGTTATAGGGATGAGCCACTTTTGAGACGCACCCGGTATAACTATAAACATAAAATTAGTTTCTTACTGAACACACTTGCATTCTTTGGAATATAAAAGTATGATAAAAGCTTAAAAGTATAAAAACAAGCATGGTATATACGCAATGAAAATTAGCTTATTAGTCTTTTAAATATATTTAATTGGTACTTTTTCAACCATAAAAATTGTACTTATCGTGTAAGATATTAAAAACGATGATAATTATCCTTCAATTATTATTGTTAAGTATATATTATTGTAATTTTGTAGTTTTTATTGCAATTGAAAACATCTATCAATAACACAATAAAATATCATTGTAGTGTTTATCACAAATAAAATACATGATTTGATTTTTTTTCGCAACACTAGGTCACCCTGTATGTATTTCTGCATTTTTTATGATGAATATACAATTATTGTTAATAAATAAAAATATTAATATCAATATTAAATAAACTTATTTTCAGATATACATCAAAGCGGAAATACAGCAATACCAATAATGCAATAAAACTATTTCAAAATATAAAATCTCAAAAAAACAGCGATCATGTTAAAACTAATACCAACTACAAACCACCGTTAATCCAAAATAACACCAGTGAAGTAAAAGAAAAATGTGCTAGTAAGAAAACGGAAGATTTTGAAAAACCCCTAATAAAAAAGCGGGACATATCAAAGGATATGTTAAAGTTAATAAATGACCTAGATTTTTGCAATGAGAAAGAAGAGCTGCTTCTTTTTAAACCAAAAGATAACAAGAAGGTAAACTATGAGACCATTCAAAAGCGAATAGCAAGTGAAACATTCCTGCTTGATAAGAAAATCTCAAAAACAAATGGAATTAAGGCCAACATAAATAAATCAAAGTCTATGCTAACAATTACATCTCGTGCAATATCAACTCAGAAAAGTCAGTCGACCGATGAGAAAATGATGCAAAGAAAGAAAGAGTTCGTTGCCAAAAAGAAATGTAGAAATATCAAACCATCAATGAAGGCAATGATATGCAGAAAACCTTGCCCGACAATGGCTGCTTGTCAGCAGGCAGGTAAAGCAAATCGGCCGGCGTGTAAGGTAGACAGAGTACCGGTTTGCTGTGAGAAAGAGGAATCTCCTTATCCTGCTTACTCTGATAGTGTTCAGGAAACTATCAAACCCTTCACCAAAACACCGCAGTTTAACTGTAATAGGACACAATATGGATTCTACCCTAATTTTAAAAAGGAATACGAGCCTTTAGAAGAGCCGAGAGATAAAAAGAAACACTTCAGCACATCGGCGTGGAAGAATCTGGTGTTTTCTAAAAACGACTTGAAATACACAAACGGGCGTTTAGTAGCCAATCCAGCCGAAAGGCCTATTTTAGAAGTGCCAGCAAAAGGTAAGGTAAGACTGTTTTTCACAAGAGAATTCTATTAGATAATTATATGTTTTCTTGTTTACAGCAATTCTAGATGAGACAGTTCGATCAGCAACGAATCGTCACCCATATTCAACCAAAACCTTTATAATTCGAAAACCAGTGGCGTGCCCAAAAGCAACAGCGTCTAAATCTGTTTGTCCCGGTCCTAAAAAACACCCTTCTTGTACCCCTCCTGAACTGGTTAGATGTCGCCCGGATCCTATATGTAAGCACGACTACAAAGGGTGTCGAAGAAAAAGAATATCGGCACCTTTTCCTGCATTCTCTGACTGTCTAAACGAAGAAATGGAAGACATACTTACCGAATGTCCCCTGGACAGAGAAAAGTATCTTAGGATGCAACCGCGGTTTATGAATCCGCCTAAAAAACCGTTGATCCTGGAGCCTCCTCCACCAATTCAAGGTAAAATTGACCTGTTAAAGGAACAAACTTGTCTTAAGGAAAAACTATGCATTGAAGATGAGGGATTAACTCAAGTTTGCAGCGAATTTGGAAAACCTATAGAATTATTAAAAACAAAGAAACTGATAAAAGAGGAAAATCGGGATTGTCAAAGGATGGAAGAATTAAAACAACTTGGGCGTTGGCCACCTTTTACTTTAAGACAAAACAGGCACTTTTGTTCTTCCACGAATCCAACATTTTATTTGTCAAGAAGAAATATTGGCACTTTAGGATTAAATTCTATACTGGAACTAGACAATAGAAATGTAGTTCAAGATGAAAGTAATAGAATTTATATAAGAAATTATTATTCGGAAGGTGATAATTCTGACAATTACTTGTTTGCTAACAAAAATACCAAAACAAATGATGTTAGTAACCATACAATTCCGGATAACGATAAATATTCCCAATATTTTTATGGTAGAGATAATATCTGGAGACTGAAAAATCTTATAAAGTTCGAAAGACTAAATAAAGAGAGCAGGATATCAAAAAGACTTAAACGATTTTATACCACGTATAGGATTAAACATAGATACCTCATGAATAGAGGTTCGAAAAACAAAATTAACAGATTAAAACTACATAAAAGAAACGCTTCTGGCAATAGCGGATATAAAAAATTTAAAACGTCTAATAAAAAGTCAGGAATATCAAATAACTCTACTTCAAAATTCACTTTAAATGGATATCTCAATAAATCAAAGAACCCGAAGGAAAGTTATAAAGATATAAGCAAAGAGAGAAGTGAAGCTATTGCTACATTAAAGGTTCTGAAAAAATATAAGAAGGACATTGCTGATACACAACAAATTGAAAATCTTCAACCTCAATATGCTATGTTGCCAGAAATATCTAGTACTAATGTCAAAGAGTTCTCTAACCAAGAAAATATAGATCAGAATATTAGTTTAGAATATTATAAACGTAAACATGGCTTGAAAACGGAGGGCATTACATTAGACTGTAATTCTTTTAACGATTACTTCTGCGGCAAATCCAAAAGTCATGCGATCCATGTTTTTAAAAACCAGCACCGACAAGCAAATACAAACACAAATAAGTCTACTTACAAATGTGATAGTAATAAGAGTAAATTAGAGACAGTCGAATTTTTAGTTCAAGAGCATCAATGTTCAGGAGACAACAAAGGATCTACTGCCTCAAAAAATCAACAAAATGACGATTGTGAGGATGATATAAGAAAATTAGAGGAGGCCTGCATGCATAACTGCATAAAAAATATCCCTTGTGACTTACCAGAAGAAGAAAAGTGTAGAATTTGCCGGGAGGAATGTCAAAAACTTCTGACAGAAACTCCAGAGATAAAAGAGGAATGCGAGGACGAGCGTTCAAAAGTCGTAGAGCCGGAATGTCCTGAAATTTGTGATCCTCCACCAAAAAAATGCGAGAAATTCGCATTCGAATGTCCACCAAAAAAGAGACGGGTAACGACAGCTCTCATTTCTTCCCCAAAACTAAAAAAGTCAAAAAGTTTTGGTCAGATAGAAACATTCTTTCAGAAATTGGTTAATTATTTTAAGGCTAGACCCAACTGCCCCGCACCGGGTGACTGGAAAAAAGAGGCATTGAAAAAGAGAGCTGAAAAAGCTGCATCGGCCGCAGGATTGATCGTTGTCGACCCGAAATGTCTACCGCCCGATGTCCCCAGAGTTTCCAAAAACTCAAAAAGGAACTGCAATTTGTGTCCAGAAGATGATGTTCCTAACAAAATGGACCAAAGTCAGAATGACAAAAAATCTGACAGCCCGCTTGCACCACCAAAGATTAAAAGATGTTTTAGTACCTTTGTTCAGCCCTCAAGGTACTATTCCAGTCGCGTTAATTTAAGCGCCATTGAAGACATAAACAGGATTTTAAAGGAGGCTGAAGCTAAAAAGAAGAAACGTCAACGTACCAAAAAACAACATGGTTTTCAAGAACCGTTTGCGTTAAAGCTTAATGAAAAAGATGCTACTTTTTCTAAATTGCTGCAAATGTCACTCGACTTCGAGCTCGATGGAGAGATAGATTTTGCCGAATTCTGTCCTAAACATAACACGTACCCGAGAACATACTTTGGCTATTGGGACGTTTTGCCTAGCAGAGAAAATATTTTGGAAAAAGCATGGAGGACCACGATTGAAGCTTATAGACAGTATGATGTTCCAAAGAATTACGAATTCTTTAATGAGTTGTTTAATAGAGTGGAAAACGTCATTCAGAATATAGAAGATTCAGGTAAATTAAATATTAATAATTAACAATATTAAAGCTTCATTCAGAACGTCGAAATTAGTAGAATAAATTAGTGGTTTTAATTAGCGTAGAAGTTGCGTTCCTTTAATTTCAATGTAAGAATTCAGAATGTCAAAATTAGTCGTAGTAATTTTCAATTAATAGAAAAAGTTTTAACCTTTTCACTAATTAACTTCGGGCAACGGCCAGGCTACGTAGAAACACCGGTTCCCATTAGAACACCGAAGTTAAGCGATGTGAGGCGATATTAGTGGATGGACGGGTGACCGGTTCGAAACTCTGTATCGTGCTGTTTTCCAATAAAGGCAAAAGTGTAAAATCTATTGACACACACTGCTCATTCACGCCGGTTCGAGGCCAGATGAGATCGGATATCTCATGAGTAAGAGTCGATTTAGACACATGCCAAGTCGGTAGGCCATTGACCATGATATGGCCGAGGACCGCGGTTCGGATTCCGCGTAAACAAAGTAGGCCCCGTCCAGATTAGTCCAGAGTCCGTATTCTGTAACTTTGACATAAAAACGTTACGCTTTCAAAGCGGTGAGCGCAAGTATTCGATCAGCGAAACGCAAGGCAGTCGATTTTGGTATTCTCGTTGCCATGCGAATCGTGTTCTGGATACGCGTTCAGCACATATTGGCAACATCACAATTTCTGTATGTATGTAGCTAATAGTCAAAAGTTGATAACTGACGGATGTAACAATGAAAAATGTTAATGTTTCTTGAATTTCATAACCTATTGTTGAGTTATGTGAAGCTATTTTTTTATGAATATGTCATTATTCTTATTATACGAGGGAAGTATTGAAGACTCTTCTTAGCATTTTTGATGTTTTGAACAATATTTATAGCTGCCAAGTCGTAAATTATCAATTATTTATTGCGGAATTTATAGAAGAAGTCGTAATTTTCACTAAAGAGTAAGATAACGCACAAAATCACAATTTTTCGATTTTCACTAACAGTTCGACAAGCAAAACGATCCTTTAAGGCAACCGTTTTCAAAGCGCTCAGCGCAATCAGTAAAGACGCTAAGCGCGTCAGACGAGAATACCGAAATCGTTAATTAAGTGCGCGCTCAGCGAAAACTAACGTCATATACGCTGAGCGTTTAAAAGCGCTTATCGTTTTCAAAGTTACAGAATACGGGCCCTGGCAGCAAAGTGGAGACGTTAACTTCAAATCTTTACTTTACTTTAATAATTAACTTCAAAATTTGCGGGGAATGCCGTTTTGGTCTTTGATTATCATCCGTCAAGAAAAATTGTGATTAAAAATCAATAGTCGATTGTATTATAAGCTAAATATTAGGATTTCTCTATGGATGCAACTGACTACCACAAGCTGTTGCTTTGTTGATTTTTCGTGAACTTAATAAAGATTCCATTAAAACAAATTTAAATTAAATCAACATGTTTTTAACTAAAATTAAAAGCTTGCTTCATGTCCGTAATTTTTACAGTTCCTTAAATTTTATAAATTATATTTAATATAAATAAATGATATGTTTATTTTTACAGAAAAATTAAAAACTGAAAATGTGCTGCGTGAATTAGAAGAGTTCTTGGAAAAAAATTCGAAGAAAAATAAAAAGTAATTTTGTTGTTGTATAAAAATGTCATTATGTTTAGTCATAAATTAAATAACGTTGGTGGAAAGTTGTGTTTTATTTATGTTTTCCTAATGCCACTATACAGGGTGTTTTAAATAGTTTTTAGGGGTAGTATATTTCGACCCCAGATTATTAAAAAACATAATTTTCTGATAAGACGGCAACATTGCTAGTAAATTAAATTTACAAGAAAAAAACTTAGAACATAATTAAAAAGTGACATATTAATGCTGTTTTAATATAATTGTTATTTTCAATTTATTTCTGTAATCTGTACATTTTGTGTTCCCTCAATAGCCTGCAAATTTTGTGGAATACCACATAAAGTATTGTAATCGTAAAACATTTTCCGACGCACGTCATCAATCATATCGACATCATTGACATTAGAGTCTATACACCTGACTAAATGAAATTTTGGCAAAAATGTTTAAATTTGTTGTACAATTTAAGATACCAAGCAGCTCTTTATTTGACTTTATAGCGCAAATGAAAAAAAAAATAGTTTAAACCGAATTTTATTATAGCTATGTTGGTCACATTGCGCCGTTTTCAGCAAGGTTGTCTTTTATTATTTGACAATTATCCTAATGTCAGTGATTATTTTGTATAATATCGTTTTTTGACTATTTTCATAGTCTTTTTTTTTAAATTGTACTTTAGAAGCACAAACAGTTCTTCTAAGAACTAAATGTTCGAGTTTTTGTATTTCATTTCTTGAAATTGTGTGTTGAAAATATGCCGAAACATTTAAACAGTCGAAGCAAAGAGCTTGTAGCTTCCCTGATAAACTATTTTGAATGAGAACGTTACAATAAAGGTCCTTACCATATTACCCTTGACTGCAGTCAAAAAAGTAAGTTTGATAAGCACATTACTCCATTTTCAAAGTTATTTCTACGTTAGTTTTTATTAAATTCTGTGATTATTAGTTGGTCTATTAATAGCACTTGTTATTACCACTTATGGCGTTGTAAGATGTACATCAATAAATAAATAAATAAATAACCCATAATAACCCTTAGAATAATCTTCATAATGGACTAGTTGTTGCCAATATGTAATAAGTAAAATAAGCTATAAAACAAATAAATCAATTACTAAAATATTAGTTATTTAAAAATAAAACGTAAAAATCTTTAAAAAATGATATAATAAATATATTGTTTGTCACTTTTAAATTAAGATTCATCTCATAAATCCATCACTATCTGGCAGCGCTGTTGCCATCGCTTGTCACTCACGTGCATCGGAAATTGTTTTGCGATTATCATACACAGTTTTATGCAAATGCCTAATAATGTTAACGCTTAAATTTATTTAAGAAAAGAAAAAAATTAGGACCCTAACTTCGTCGGCCGGATAGCCCTAGCAGCTGTGGACATTAAAACAATATACTACTACTAACCTAACTTCGTATTTATAGTGGTTTACGTTTACAGTAATTTTGTTAAGTTATACGAATATATTCTCGTTGATTATTGGTTTGAAATAAATATGACGATGTCTTCCAATGAAAATGCAACTTGCTTAACTCTAATAATTCTAAATCTGAGCAAGAAAATGAGCTAAATGATACTCTTACGTGCTATCTCCACTCCTATCTAATTTATACACAGAAGCTATTTTCCAAGAGGCTCTGGAGGACGTGGAAATGGGAATCAAAGTTAATGGAGTGTGGATTAATAATATCCGCTATGCCGACGATACGGTCTTAATTGCAGACAATATACACGACCTACAACAACTGGTCAACAAGGTAGGAGAACAGAGCAAAGCAATGGGTTTTAACATCAACATCAAGAAAACCAAATTTATGATTATATCCAGAAACCCAGATGTGTTTATAAACTCCATTCTAACATTTAACTCAAGGCCCATAGAAAGAGTAGATACATTTAAGTACTTGGGCATCTGGCTCTCCGAAGATTGGACATCAAACAAGGAAATTAAATGTCGCATCGAACAAGCTCAGCAGGTATTCTTGAGGTTTCGAAAAGTAATTGTCTGTTCTGATTTTGACCTTAGCCTTAGATTAAGATTCGTAAACTGTTATGTGTGGTCGGTGCTCCTTTATGGTATGGAAGGTTGGACATTGAAAGCAACTACCATCAACAAATGCATCAACAAATTGGAGGCTTTTGAGATGTTGCTATATCGCAGAATCCTGAAGATACCTTGGACGGCTAGATTGACAAATGAGGAAGTTCTCAGACGTATTGACAAAGAGCGTGAATTATTTGAATTGATTAAAAAGAAAAAAATCGCATACCTGGGGCACATAATGCGAAACCCCAAATATCAATTCTTGCATTTGTTGATCGAAGGCAAGATCGAAGGCCGGAGGGGTATCAGAAGGAAGAAAATATCTTGGCTGAGGAATATTAGACAGTGGACAGGGCTACTCGATGTTCAGTCGTTAATACACACCGCCCGGAACAGAGAAGAAATGGAAAATGTTATCGCAAACATCCATTAATGGATCTGCACTAGAAGAAGAAGAAGATACTCTTACATACGACCACTATGTAAAAAATGGAAAAATACACAATTTACCGTGCAGTAATTAAATTACTACACACAGTAAGCAAAACGCACGAAAAACATAGTTTCTTCTGTGCATTCCATTCGTGAGTAAGTAATGCATTTCTGTGCACATTCCATTCGTGAGTAATATGCTTTATCCACGACTCGTCTATAATTTGATTATTATACATGAGTTTATGAAATAATAATAATAATATTCTAGTGAATAATGGTTTCATTATTCACCACTTCCACGGATATGTCGATCCAAACTCCAAACAAGAGCTGTGCTTGATCCAAACCGGCTTGGAATGCGATTGTACGCACAAAATAAAAAACAAAGGTGGCTATGAAAGCATTGAAATGCCACGTCACGTTGCGTTGTCGCGCTGTTGTGGTTGCTTTATACTCGTTCAATATTTTTTTGACATTAAAAATAAAAGCTTATTTTTAGCTAAATTAGCTAAAAATAAAAATAGCTAAAAAGATAAATTTTTTTGATAGTCCTGGATAAAGTATAGTATTCTACTCGCATATAATGGCTGTTATTCACTTGGATGATTTATCATAAAAACTTCATTCGCGTAAATAACAGCCACCATTATATGCGCTCGTTGAATAATATATTATTTTATAACACTCATTACGTATAATACTATTACATATGACCACACTATGTAAAAAGGCCAAGTACGATTTACACCGGCAGTAATTATTTTATTACACATAGTAAAACCGTGCACACATGTCGTCTCAAACTTAAAGCGGAAGCGTCTCAAACTTGGAACGAATCTCCCTGCACTCGCTAGTCCTAGGTAACTAATAGTAGGTCCACGAACGGGTCGATTTGTGGTCGACGCGTAGTCGAAGTGGTTGATACTATTATTTACATGCAAAGGTAGAGTGAATGGAGATTCGCTTGAAATTTAAGACGCTTCCGCTTCGAAATCCAGTCGACCCGTGTGCGGGCACTCTAGGCTAAGAACATAGTGGCGCGACGAGGATAGCGGCGAACAAGCAGCGCGATACCGCGTCGAGCAAGCCTCGAGGTGCTGAAACATAGTAGAGCCGCGAAGAATAGCGAGGTACTTTATTATTTTAATTTGCTAGTTGATCATTTAAAATGTTAACAGTGGCTAAAAATCTGGATTGTTGTGTCGCAAACATTTGGTTTATTCGAAACCAACAAATCAAAAGGTGTTGTTGTACATGAAATTTGTACACTACTACATGAAATTTTCAAAACCCGGAAAGATAACTTTAACATCTAAAATGTACCGGTTATGGTGATTAGTAAAGCTCGGATTTTAGGACGTTAAAAACTTCAAAAAAGGCAATACTTTAAGGCTGTAAAATTTTAGTTTCAGGCAAGTTTAGGCAAATAGCTGAAAAATGCTTCATTTTGGCAAAACTAACATGTACAGCTGGTTCCAAAAAAAAATGAATACGACTTTACACATTTTTTTCGAATATTTGGACAGTGTATATTTATGTGTCAAGTATTTTGACATGTTAAGGTTATTGTGACATTTATTGTGTTATTGTATAAAACCACTTTGCTTTTGACAAAGTGGCAAATAAATTTTTCAGAACGTCAGCATGACTTGAGTAGAGAAATGGGGAACTGGTATCATATAATATACTGCCCGAAATAATAAAAATATGTTTTAAATCGTATCCAATTTTATTGGAACCAGCTGTACATAGTAGTAAATTATTTTATTAATTCAAAACAACCAATTCAAAATAACTCTTAAATCCGAACACATCTAACAAAACAAATGTGAAGAGCCTAAAACATACAAAGTCTTATGGAAATTCAATTTTGTTCTTCAAACTTTGAATTTGCATAATAAACCAAGTGTTTTTCCAAATTTTCTGGGGTAAAACTCATTCTTCTATCGGTTAAAATCAGTTTATATGACGAGAAGGACCTTTCCACGTCACAACTTGTTGTAGGGCAGTATTTGAAAATAGACAAGCTCGTAGACAAGTCACCGGGCTAATCGATGTCCGCTGGATCCTTATCCAAGGATTTTGAAATGGTACGTACCTTAGAGACACCTGGATTTTTTTGGCAAATATTGTTGAATTTTTCATAAGCTATTAGGGCCACTGCTCCTGGAGCTTTCTTCAAGCACTTTTCAACTTCATCAACTATTTTAATTGATTCAGTCATTGGTAAACCGAATGTTTTCAGTTTTTTTTTATACTATCCGTCAACAACTTGCATTGAACTTTGATATAGCACAAATCCGAATATAGTACTCCCGAAATTAATACACTCGCGATTTCATCGCTCGTGAATTAATCTTTTCGGTCGACGATAATGCAATGTTATCGTCGTGTATAAAACAATATTTTTTCCATAGCGAGTTACGTTTTAAAAAATAGAAATTTCAGAAATTATGATTTCAAGGAATGTATTACGAGTAGAGAAAATATTGTGCTGAATTGGCTTTGATTTCTATGTAATTTGACGAATAAATAAAGCTGTCTCTTTAGTTGTCAGTTTTGAGTCAATATTTTTTAATTCTCTTTCGTGTCGATTGCTGATTGAATTGGAGGTTCAAAACGAAATAAGTAAATTACCAACAGATCACTATCCAAACTACTTCCATTTAAATCCCGAATAACTTATGAAAAGGAATACAAACATTTTTAAAATGGAAGCAATTAAAAAACGTGCGAGAAGAAATAAAAGTTTTTAACCTATCTTCGCTGTTAAAGTATCATTTAATCTACCTTTGCGGTTAAAGTACTATTTTATCTACTATTTTTGATATATATAAGGCAATTTTAACAGTTGCTATGGAAAAAAAGTATTTTTTTGACTATATTATTTTTATATAAGTATTTAAAATAACGTTAATATCAAAATTACGAGTAACATCAACCTGTTTTTTCTTTCTCAAATAAAGCAATTTTCTTACATTTGTAAACTAAAATAGGTAGGTATTTAAAACTTTAAAGGTTTTTGTTTAAATTAAATAATCCTATTTTTTATAATATTATAACCTGTCTGTATTGTTTTATTCTTTGATTTATTATAGATATATTTGAACGTTATAAACGCGTGTATTAATATTAATACAATAATGTTAAATATTGGATTTTTGGAAAAACATCGATTCATGTTAAAAATGCGCACCTGCTCTTTCGATATCGATATCGACGTAATACTCACAGTGCTTGCCTATTTTAGGTATTTAAAAAAAAATATAGGCGCTAAAATTCTGTTTTAGGCGTATAAAGTCAGCTTAGGCATTTAGGCAAAAACAAATAGGTCTCAAAATACTTAGTTTTTTCTAAAACGCATTTTTGAAAATGTTTTTTTTATTTGCCTGGACTCAAACTAAAAAGGCATTTTGCCTAGAATCCGCGCCCTAGTGATTAGGTACTATTTTTTATTATATATAGAATTTTTGGAAATCCATTGTTTTCTACAGCGCGACAGAGCGACGAAAACAAAATTATTTGAGCAGATCGCTTTACTATGTTCACACGTACTTGTCTTCACAGATTTATTTTGGACGCGATGTCGCGCTGCTGGCTCGCCGCTATCCTCGTCGCTCCACTATGTCACAGAATAGACTATGTTCTTAGCCTAAGACTTCAGATACAGAAACCAAGTAAAGCAATTTATTACGAAGCGTCTTTTGCGACTAGAAACAAGATAAAAGAGGATCATATTAAGAGTGACCCGACCAAGTCGTGAAGCGTGTAGCTCTTCTTTTTACCGTCTGATCGAAAAAAACGGGCGTCAGCGATGGCTACGAAATGAAGATCGCTGTCATTTTATATGTAAATTTAAAAGGGGAATATTTTCCTCATTTCCCAGCCAAGTATATGCCATTTTTATCGATGATACGGTATAAAAAACGGTTTAAATTCTTTATTCGCTTTCTGTGTAGACGCACGGAAAATATTCAGGTTTTACTTAAACAACAATCGCTGCGCTACTTAAACAACAATACACTCTTCACGTGACAGTCAAATGAAAAAAAATCCTTTGACAAAAGTCTGACACCATCTAATAAGGCATTTAATTCTATAGTACATGATATAGCATACTATATCATGTGGTATACTAAAGTATATTAGGTAATGTGTATGGCAAATCCATATTATATACTCATGTATATACCTATAATTTGCTACTTTGCATTCTTACGTTATGCGCTTCTTACAACACATATTACTTAATATACTAAATTACTATTACCGGTTAATGATGAAAAACATTACAAGTCAATAAACATTACAATAAACATAAAAATCTACTAAATTAACTAACCTTCACCAGACATTAGACAATAAACAATGTTCTTATACAAAATCACCAATTTATACAAATAAGTCACTTGAAATAAAAAAGTAATGTTAATAAAGTAGGAAGCACAGGAAGAACAAATTTCAAAAAGATAAAATATTACTGTGTAACGAGGTAGATGCAATTTATGCAGCTCTTGAAATTGCCAAGAGTACTTCAGTTCTCTGTGTAGAAAATCTGTATCTGTTACGGTTGGTAATGGCGGTTTAAAAATACCAGTTTTATTATACAGAAAGAAAAGCGTTATATATTTTTCAGTTGAGATTTTTCTTTATTTCGTTATAACCAAAAATAAAACCTAAAATAAAATGTTTAGTTTTAATTTTCATAATTATTCAGTGCCACAAATAAAAACTTTATATAACAAGGATTATTGATTAAAAAATTAAGAAAAACATTGTTTTAAAGTTACCATCACCAAATTTGCAAGGAGGGATTCTAGGATTGCGGAGATGTTTGCTCATTCAATCGATTTTGAAAAACATTTAATTTGTTAATTGGTATATCTGTATTTTTTTGGTTCCACTCTATAAGTGACACTAATGTTGCGATTTACAAATATATGAAAACAAAAAAGGTATTTTTATTTTTATTTTTACTAATTTAATTTATTTGCACGCCCGGTACAAGTCTGCAGAATGCATTGTCGGCAAGTCGGCATTTCACAAACAGCGGGAGTTCGAAGAAAGCCGTGTGATGATACCGCATAACGACGAGCCTTCGACGTCGTGAAATATTATTTTATTTTTATAAATTAGTAGCCCTTTATTCTTGCTGGAAGCAGCATTGATCCATAGCGCCAATTCGCACTTTTATTTTAACGAATTTCAAGTTCTGTTCCAAAGTTTATTGGAATTACTCCTCCCACAATAACATTTTTAAACAATTTTATTATTTGTTATTGTGAAGAATTTATTCATAATTTAATAAATAAAGTAGTGATTTCAATTCGTGGGTTTATTCTCGAAAGAGTGGTCCTTCGACGTTGGTTTTTCTTTGGGAATCGAAGCAGTCCATTGTTAGTCCATTGGATAAATTATTACCACGAGCTAACATTGGTCCAATCGAGCTGGATATTGGACTTGGAAGCTTGGATATTGGGATTTTGAACTTTGGATCTTGGATTTGGATTGGATTGGTCGAGAAGGTGTTGATGGGCCAGCAAGGTTGAGGATACTCATTGGTTGGATAGTGCTACTGGGTACACAAAAACACTTTTGTACAATTAAAGGAGTGAATAAGGTCAGACTATTTATTTTAATTAGCTTTGCATGTAAAAGGTTGTTGCAAGAAGAAAGTGAACTTTTTAGAATATACAGTGGCGTTACGAGTGACATTTTTCGGTTTATTTAAAAATAATTTTCTATTAGTTAATAAATAAAATAAGTGTAAATTTTAGATTATTTTGGCAAATATCAACTTGAAATTAAATATTAAAAATATTAATGTTTGAAATTAAATATTAGGAATATTGATGTTTAAGATTAAATATTGAAAGTATTGGTGTTTAAAATTAAATATTTGGTTATTTGTTTAAAAAAAAAGTGTTAAATTAAATTTAAACTATGGATGCTTTACTTAAAAAACGTTCTAGGGTTAAAGCCTACATTACTAGAATTGAAAATTTTGTTAACAACAATGAAAATAATTTAGATGTAGATATTAATGAGTTTGTAACAAGGGAGGTTCAATTACAATCAACTTTTGAAAATTATTCGGAAATTCAGGCAGATATTGAAGGGTTAGATGAGGATCAGGAAAGTGATCGTGAAAACGTGGAAAATCAATATTTTAAAATATGGGCTAAAATTAAAACTATAATTCAAAATAGGAATTTAACAAACTTGCAACAATTTCCCCCGCAACCTGCCATGCATCTCCCTCAATTAGAAAATAATAACAGGGTAAAATTACCAAATTTAAAGACTCCTACTTTCTCGGGAAAGTATGAGGACTGGAAGGGTTTCATTGATTTATTTAACGCATTAATTCATGAAAATTCTCAACTCACAAATGTTCAAAAATTTTTATATTTAAAGGGCGCACTTTCGAATGAGGCATTACATATTATTAACGATTTAGCATTAACAGAAATTAATTATGGGGTGGCATTAGATTTGTTACAGAAAAGGTTTGACAACAAGGTTGTCATAATTAACACGCACATAAGGGGTATTATGGAATCGCCTTCCATAAATAAAGGTGATGGGGCACAACTTAGGGCTTTTTTAACATGCATAAGACAGCATCTAAATTCGCTGCGTGCACTGAAAGTGCCCGTAGATGAATGGGATATTCTATTAGTTTATATTTTGGCGAAAAAATTAGACTTTCAAACGCACAAGGCATACGAGCTTGAAAGGGATGATACAGGGTTGCCAACAATAGCATATTTTCTTAACTTTTTGGAAAAGCGTTGCACTGCGTTAGAAAATATTACGGGTGCGGGATCTTCGGATAATGAAAGGGGTTTTAAGCAAAAAGCAAAACAGTCTTTTTTAGGTATACAGGGCGAGAGGGCAAAACAAGGCTGCGCGTTTTGCAAACGGGAAAACCATTTAATTTCTAAATGTTTTAAATATAAAGGGTTAACGTTAGAGGAAAAAAGGGAATTTGTGAAAAATAACAGACTTTGTTATAATTGCTTAAGTGACGGACATTCGGTTGTAAACTGCAAGTCAATGGGATGTAATATTTGCAAACGTAAGCATAATACATTATTACATTCAAATGACCAGGAAAATAACGGGCAAACTAAAAATACACCTGAAAGGGAAAATAAAAACAATTTACAAACTAGTAAAGTTGTTAAGTATACGGGTCCAGAAGAACAAACGGTTGTTTCAAATAACACAACATTAATTTCTCAAGGGTTTAATAATAATTTTCAAATTTTATTGGCAACAGTCAGGGTAACAGTGACAACTGGGGATGGACGTAAAATACAAGCGCGTGCGTTATTAGATTCTGGGTCACAAACGAGTTTTGTAACTTCTGATTTCTTGAAAAAGTTAAATGTAAATGTTTATCAGCAAACTTTAAAAATTGGAGGTATAGGTAACAATATCACTCAGGTAAACAAAATGGTAGATCTCACACTGGAATCTAGGGTCCATACCAACTGTAAATTCGAGGCTTCGTGTGCTGTTTTGGACAGGATAACCTGGCCGCTTCCTCAAACCTTAGTGGACACAGGTAAGTTCAAGATTCCTGACAATGTTGAGCTGGCGGATCCATTCTTTTATGAACCTGCTGAGATAGATATGTTGATTGCTTCTGATTTGTATTTTGAATTAATTCTTCCGGGGTTGATCAAGTTAGGGACTGGGCTTCCGCTGTTGCAAAATACCAAGTTTGGTTGGGTTGTGTGTGGCAGTGCTCCTATAAAGTCATCTAAGGTCATGCAAGGATGCAATTTAAATGTGTCACTGCACTGTCAGTCATTAGATAACATCAATGAGCTTATTCCTAAATTCTGGCAATTGGAGGAACTTTCTAAGGAAAAAATTTTGACTGGAGAAGAAAAGTTGTGCGAACAAAGGTTTGTAGAATCAGTCAAACGCCTGGAAAATGGGAAGTTTCAGGTCGACTTGCCATTTCGGCAAGAAAGGGATTACGAAAAGTTGGGTGACTCGCTGGGGACAGCAGTCAAAAGGTTTCACAGTTTGGAAAAAAGGTTTCAACGTGATGCAAAGTTGTTTTTAGATTACAAACAGTTCATCGACGAATATGTTTTACTTGGGCATGGTAAATATGTTAATTTTGATCTTGGGCAAAAGGAGTTGGTATCTAGACATTTTTTACCTCATCATTGTATTATAAAAGAGCTGAGTTTAACAACAAAGCTCAGGGTGGTCTTTGATGCTTCTTCAAAAACATCAAGTGGGTTGTCATTAAATGACATAACACTAAAAGGGTTTTCTGTTCAGCCTGAACTATTTGACATCTTGTGTAGGTTTAGAACATATGGTTTTGTCATCATTGCAGATATTCAGAAGATGTATCGGATGATTCAGGTCAATCCAAAACATACATTTCTGCAGAATATTTTGTGGCGAGAATTTCCAGGGGAAGAGTTTAAGTGCATCGAACTTCAGACGGTGACGTATGGAACGAATTCAGCTCCATATCTTGCAACTCGTTGTTTAAAACATCTTGCAATTGACAAGGCACTTGAGTTTCCTTTAGCTTCTCAAGCTATACTGCAGCAATGTTATGTGGATGACATATTAGGTTGTGTGAACACAAAGGAGGAAGGGATACAATTACGGGAACAGCTTATTGGTATGTTAAAATCTGCAGGCTTTCTACTTCACAAATGGGCGTCGAATGATAATTCAATATTAGGTTCGCTTAAAAATAATTTGGGAAAGGAGGTCGACATTAACGAGGAAGGGGTATCCAATAAAGTACTTGGGCTTTCTTGGTGTCCTATAAAGGATAAATTTAAGGTTTCGGTACCGTCTACTAGGCAGTCAAGTAAAGTTACAAAAAGGTATGTGCTCTCAAATATCGCACAGATGTTTGATCCGTTGGGATTTATAGGTCCTGTTGTAGTGACTGCGAAGTTATTCATGCAGGAAATTTGGGCGGCTAAACTTGACTGGGACGAGGAGCTTCCAACCAACTTAAGGGAAAGATGGGTTTTATTTTCAAATAGTTTCATACATTTGCGTAGTTTGCAAATTCCTAGGTACACGTTTTTGTCTAACCAGTTGGTGTCAGTTCAAATTCACGGGTTTTCAGATGCATCTATGGCAGCCTATGGTGCTAATATCTATTTGAGAGGTATTTACTCAAATGGAAAAATTTCGTGTCATTTACTTTGTTCAAAATCTCGGGTATCACCATTGAAAACCATAACTCTACCTCGCTTAGAGCTTTGTGGGGCGTTGTTATTGGCTAGATTAATTCATAAAATCATGTCAATAATAACCATAAAGGTTGACAAGGTTACTTTGTGGACAGATTCGATGATTGTCTTGTGCTGGTTAAATTCTCCGCCAAATCGTTGGGCAACTTTTGTTGCTAACAGAAGTTCAGAGATTCAGGAACTTACAAGCAATTTTTTATGGCGTCATGTCAGGTCGGAGGAAAACCCAGCTGATCAATTGTCAAGGGGCATTTCACCTTCGGATTTAATATCCAGTAAACTGTGGTGGCATGGTCCTAATTTCTTGATGGATTCTAATTTAGATCTGGGTAAAGAGTCTGAAGGGTTTGAAGTTGAATCAATGCCGGAACAGAGAAAGGTAACTCTAGTTCAAGCAGGGCAAATTAAGGTGTCACCAATAAATTGGGTTAAATTTTCTAGCTTTTCACGGTTGCAAAGATCTTTGGCTTATTGTCTTAGGTTCATCAACAATGCGAAAACCGGTAATACAAAGGTTTTTGGCCCTCTGACTATTCAGGAGTTAAAAAATTCGCATAACAGGATAATACAGTTTGTTCAGGAAGAAGGTTTTGCTAAAGAAATTTCGTGTCTTAAATCTCACTCTTCTCAGAAGGACGGGGAGGGAACAAAGTTAGCAGCAACTTTAAACCAAAGCGATATTAGGAATTTAAATCCATTTTTGGATGGATGTGGGTTATTAAGAGTCAATGGAAGACTTGCCAAGGCAGTTGTTCACCATGATCAAAAATTTCCGATTTTATTGCCAGCTAAACATCATGTGACTAACTTAATCATTAGACTTGAACACATCAAATTATATCATGCAGGGGCTCATACTGTATTGGGCAGTATACGGATGAGATATTGGCCAGTTAATGGGTTAAGGCAAGTGAAGTCAGTCTTAAAAAATTGTACTATTTGTTTTCGGTTGAGGGCTAAGTCCTCAAATCAACTCATGGGATCGTTACCATTGGAGAGAACAACAATTTCCAGACCATTCTTAAGGGTAGGGGTAGATTTTGGGGGGCCCCTATTTGTCAAACAAGCCAGACTGCGAAAAAGTACAACAACGAAGGCTTACATAGCATTGTTTGTATGTATGACAACGAAGGCCATACATATCGAATTGGTTTCAGAGTTATCAACACAAGCGTTCCTACTAACGTTAAAAAGATTTATTGCTAGGAGAGGCAATCCTATTTCCATTCACAGTGATAATGCGACAAATTTTCAGGGAAGCAATAATGTTTTGAACGATCTGTATAAATTCTTTAGGTCTTCTTCTAATTTAAATTCAATTCAGGATTTTCTGAGCACTAGGGAAATTGAGTGGAAGTTTATACCACCAAACAGTCCCCACTGGGGAGGACTCTGGGAGGCAGGTATAAAGTCGGTAAAATCTCATCTTCATAAAATAGTAGGATCTTCTGTGTTAACATTTGAGGAACTGACAACGGTCTTGGCACAGATAGAAGCGATATTGAATTCTAGGCCGTTGTGTCCAGTTTCTGCTGATCCATTGGATTTCTCGTGTTTAACACCCTCGCACTTTCTTATAGGAGAACCACTGATGAGCTTTCCGGAACGGGATGTTACTGACGTTCAGGAGAACAGATTAAATCACTGGCAGCGTTGTTCGCAGATTCAGCAGCGTTTTTGGAAACGGTGGTCTGCTGAATATTTAAATCAACTTCAAGTTCGGTCCAAGTGGCTTTCTCCAGAGCGGAATCTTGAAGTCAATCAGGTCGTCCTTGTTAAGGAGGATAATGTTCCTCCGATGAAGTGGCTTCTAGCTCGCATTATAGAAACAATGCCTGGGTCTGACGGTAAGGTTTGTGTCGCCAAGATAAAAACTAAGGATGGTGAATTTGTGCGGCCCATCACGAAGTTGTGTCCCTTACCTTACGATTCTAGTTGAGGGCGTTGCCTCAAGGGGGGGAGGATGTTGCGATTTACAAATATATGAAAACAAAAAAGGTATTTTTATTTTTATTTTTACTAATTTAATTTATTTGCACGCCCGGTACAAGTCTGCAGAATGCATTGTCGGCAAGTCGGCATTTCACAAACAGCGGGAGTTCGAAGAAAGCCGTGTGATGATACCGCATAACGACGAGCCGTCGACGTCGTGAAATATTTTATTTTTATAAATTAGTAGCCCTTTATTCTTGCTGGAAGCAGCATTGATCCATAGCGCCAATTCGCACTTTTATTTTAACGAATTTCAAGTTCTGTTCCAAAGTTTATTGGAATTACTCCTCCCACAATAACATTTTTAAACAATTTTATTATTTGTTATTGTGAAGAATTTATTCATAATTTAATAAATAAAGTAGTGATTTCAATTCGTGGGTTTATTCTCGAAAGAGTGGTCCTTCGACGTTGGTTTTTCTTTGGGAATCGAAGCAGTCCATTGTTAGTCCATTGGATAAATTATTACCACGAGCTAACAACTAACTACATATTTTTCTGCATTTTTAATTTAATATAAATGTTTTCCACGTTCAGTTTATAAATGTTTTGCTACTGTGAAATTTAACTGTGTTTTGATTTGAATTGTATGTATGTATGTGTGTGTATTAAGCCTGCATGTCTCATTTTTAGACTTTTTATGGGTTCAATATGAGACACTCTTTTTTGCATTCTGACTTTTTTAGGGATACTTTTGATATATTTTTACCTTTGCAATAGTTGCGTTGCCACCAAATGCCTTTTATAGAAGAAATACATTTGTATTTAAATTGTTGTAACTAAGAAAAAAACTGAAAGTTCTGAAAAATAATTTTTACACAACTTGACTCTACTTATTCATTTGTGATAATCAATAAGGTTTGCTCTTTCCGAATTATTAAACCGATAAATTTAGAACTATGTTTAAACGTACGACTTTCTGCTTAGGCACGACAACCCGATCTCTATACCGTTTACCATCTTCTATAAATTTGCCACAGGAGACCTCTTAAGAAAGGACGTGCTCGTTTTTTAAAACCTTTTGGGAATATTCCAATAACTGCCGACTTTCTGTTATAAAGTAGGTTACCATCTATCTATTATTTAGTATGAAAACCTTACATATACATTTTTCCTAAAGTTTAAGAATTGTCTGTATGAAATGAATCTATTTACAATGTGATAAACTTTACTCGTCCACTCCATCATTTTATTTAAAATCTAAATATAAATAACGCTTAGTATTTTAATAAAACTTTAATAAAATAAGTTTTTTACTAAAACTAAACGTCTGACTACATTGTAAAGATATATATTTGCTATGGTAGTGGGTTTAAGGAGTTTACAACAGGGCTCATAATAATGTGTTTAAAAATCCTTGTTGGTCGTTTAAATTATTGTCGTTTTTAGATCATTTATATATTTCTAAAACTTCATTCAGAACCTCGCAATTAGTGGTTTCAATTAGTGTAGAAGTTTGTTTCTTTAATTTCAATGTAAGCATTCAGAATGTCAAAATTAGTGGTGGGCATTTTCAATTAGTAGAAAAAGTTGTCAAACTTTTGAGTTTTCCACTAATTATACTTCAAAACTTGCGAGAAATGTCATTTTGGCTTTTGATTATCTTCCGACAAGAGAAATTGCGGTTAGAAATTAAAAATTGGTTGTTTTATAAGCTAAATATTAGGTTTTCTTTATGGATACAACTGATTACCGGAAGCTGTTGCTAGGATATTATATTAATTTTAATTGTGTTTTTAGACATTGTGAATGATATCAAACTAAAAAGTATAAAGTGTTATTAAAACCACTAATTTATTCCACTAATTGCGAGGTTTTGAATGAAACTTAACTGTTCAAGGTAATTTAAACGTCTACCTTTTGTTTCTCTGTGTAATAACTTAATTGAGTTTTCATTAGTTGTGAGACTATGTAATATTTTTGTCGTTTTTAGCTGATTTTAATATTTCTAACTGTTCAAGATAATTTAAGCCTCTACCTTTTGTTTCTCTATGTAATAGTTTAATTAAGTTTTAATTAATTGTGTGTATTTAATATACCACTTTTATTCGAATTAAAATTTATTTAAGCAATTATCGACTTTCGCTAACGAGTATTTGACACGTATTAAAAGATGGTTACGCAAGGCGTTTCCTGTCATGAGCTTTTCTGTGACTGAAAAGCCCGATACGTGATGTTATCTCTCTTCCGCACTCCGGACATTCAAAAATCTCATTACTTTGTTGCCTCTTTAGTTTTTGGTTGTCGTTATTAACTGATATTACAATTCTCCTCCATTGCGTTCTATTGTGCGCTGCTTCCTCCCACCGATACTGCATACTTATCCCCTTTAAGTTTTCATGAACAAAATCCTTGTATCTTTTGAGTTGTCCACCTGGTTTCCTCTTACCCTCTACAAGTTCACCGTAAGGAAGAGATTTTGTAGGCGGTTTTCTTGCATCCTGCATACGTAGCCAGCCCATCTTAAGCGAGATTTAGTAATCATGACTGCAGCGCTCTCGCAGCTTGCTTTTTTAAGGACTGTTACGTTTGAGACATGGTGGTACCATTTGATACTTAAAAGTTGTCTAAGGTGTCTGTGTTGCAACTTGTTTAATGCGCTCGTGTGCCGGCGGCGGTACGGCACCCAGATTTCGCTTCCATATAACATGGTGGGGATTATTACTGCTCAATACACTGCAAGTTTCGTTTTTGTGCTCAAGTCATGATTGTAGAAAACCCTGTCTTTTAATTTCCAGAATGGTCTTGAGGCGCTGCTGATTCTGTGCTGATTTTCAGAGTCGATATTTGCCTTTTCCGAAATCAAACTGCCGAGGTAATTAAATTCCGATACATATTCCGATTTTTATAGCGCTATTATAATTTTCCGGGGGAGTGCACATGATTTTTGTTTTATCGATGTTCTGTTTAAGGCCCTCGTATGCCCAGGTATATGTGTTCAGCATTTCCTGTAATTGCTGTAACGTATTTGCAACTAGAGCGCAGTCATCAGCGTATTGGAGTTCTGTGATGAATTTTATACGTATTTATGCCCTGAGTCTTTTTATGTTGAACAGACCGCCGTCATACCTGTATCTAACACCCATTCCTCTTTCCTGCAGTTTGCTGTCCACTATAATAGAAAGCGTTGCCATGAATATGTTTAATAGGAGAGGAGCTAGGACACATCCCTGCCTAACTCCTGTATTTGTCAGGAAGGGATCGCTCAGTGATCCATGATGTGACACTCTCGACTTGTTTTTCTTATGGAGGCTTTTACACACACTAAGAAATTTGTTGGGCACTCCGAACTTTTGCATAATTGCCCAAACTGCATCTCTGTTTACAGAGTCGAAGGCTTTCGTTAGGTCGATGAATACAACATAAAGTTTACTCTGCTGTTCCTTTACTTTTTCCTGTAGTTGGCGGATGGAGAATATGGAATCAACGGTACCGCAGTTGGTGCGAAAGCCCGTTTGCGATACTGGGAGGATTTTTTCTATATGTGGGTGAAGGCGGTTAACTAACAGAAATAGGATGTAAAATTATTAATGCAAATAAAAGAAATTAAGGTCAAATTTTATTAAATGACAAAGACAAAACTAATATTACAGTTGAGGCACAAATTAACTGTTGAGGGTTGACCGTTGGCGCTATAACAGCAAAATAAAACATTAATTCACCACAATATACCAAAACACTTTACTTTTTACTTTACTTAGCATCATCGGCAGATGACTAAAACTTAACATGTTTTAATCATTTACTGAAGACATGGTTAAACTTATTTTTCACCCTTACGATAAGTTATAAGATAACCGAGATACGAGGCAAGTCGAAAAACGTAAATTTTTCAAATTCGCCCTATATTTCAAAAATTAAGAGAACTAGGACAAATCTGTGTATTATCTTTAGTTTCATTAAAAAATAGTACAGTGATATAAAAACCGCATCTTTGTAGCTCTATTCATAAACGAGAAACCTCATGCAGCACACGAAAATGGAACACCCTGTACTGTATTTTCGAAATGTTGCAGCTTATAGTCGATTTTATTTTCCACTAAATCGAGAAACTAGATAAACACACGAAAATGGGACACCCTGTAGATATTACTTCATCTAATAAATCAATAAAGAAAATAAAGACCGTTCTATTTAAGTATCTGGCTTAAATTAATTTCTTTAAATAATCTTGTTTGATTAAATACATTTTCAGTTTCTCATAATTTTCTTTTACCAACAAAGGCAAAAAATAGTTTTTGATACCTCCTTAAGTATGTTTTCAAATAAATAATTTCTATCTAGCTAATATTCAAGAAAGGTTTGGGTTGGAGGAATGCTTGGTTGCTTTACTCTCTTTACAATATATACAAACTACATTAAATTAAAAAGTAAATTTTAAATATTAAAAATACGAAAAACTAGTTCTACTGTTGCGGATTTAAAAGTACTAAAAATATAATTATATTTCGTAGGATAACTTAAATGAGAAGAATAAACTGCAGAAAATCTTGTAGCAAAACAACCGGATAGGCAAGAGACATTAAATCCATTTCGGCTACAAATCCAAACGGCTTTAATAAATGGCAGACAATAAACAATTCCTCGACAGCCTATTGTGTCCTTCCACGGAACAAGTGTCGAAAAAATTAGGGTTCGATGATATTATTTAGAAGGACGCGTTGACAGGCCATATATATTAAGTCCTGTTCATAAAAACAAGGGAAGTAAGAAATTGGCCGATTGGGTTTTGACAAAACACGGATTAGATTAAATATTGGCAATATGTCTCCTGAAAATCTAGCTAATAGATAGTAGTGAGTATCTTTTTCTCTTTATGCCTAGATATCAATTAAATTGTATTTTAAAAATATAGAGAAAAGAAATCTTAAACGCGTCTATTAATATTTGAAGTTGCTCATATTTCTACGTAATAAATATTTCTATAGGGCGATTCAAAAAAATTAC